AATTTAGAGAATATCATTGCAGCAACAGATGCTGATGGAAAATCAAACCTATGGCACCAAAGGCTTGGTCATATGAGCGAGAAATGGATGAAGACACTTTTGTCAAAAGGGAAGCCGCCGGATCTAAAGAATGTAGATGTCAGTCTATGCGATGATTGTATCTTTGGCAAACAAAAGAAAGTCAGTTTTGCAAAGATTGGCAAGACACCCAAGGCAGGAAAGTTAGAGTTGGTTCATACTGATGTATGGGGACCATCTCCAGTTCCATCTCTTGCACCTTCATCGATGATTCTACAAGGAAGGTGTGAGTTTATTTTCTGAAGAAGAAATCAGAAGTCTTTGATGCCTTCAAAAAATGAAAGGTTATGGTGGAAAATGAGACTGGTATGAAAGTTAAGCGGTTAAGGTCTGACAATGGAGGAGAGTACAGAAATCGTAGATTCAGAGATTTCTGCGCAAACAAGGGGATTAAGATGGAGACAACAGTTCCCATGACACCGCAGCAGAATGGCGTAGCAGAGCGCATGAACAGAACTCTGAATGAATGTGCCAGAAACATGAGGATACATGCCGGATTACCCAAATTTCTATGGGCTGAAGCTATCAACACTGCATCTTACCTGATCAACTGTGGGCCCTCAGTTCCTTTGGATGACAGAATACCAGAGGAAGTTTGGAGCAAGAAAGAAATAAACCTTTCACACTTAAAAGTGTTTGGTTGTATTTCTTATGTACACATAGATTCTGTTGAAAGAAGTAAACTTGATGCCAAGTCCAACAAATGTGTCTTTGTTGGTTATGGTGGTGATGAGTTCAGTTACCGATTTTGGGACTATGAAAATCGGAAGATCATCAGAAGCAGAGATGTCATTTTCAATGAGAATGTGATGTACAAAGACAGGTCAACCATGGAATCAAGTAGCTCCAAAACCGAAGCTGAAACAAAGGAATTTGTTAAGTTTGAGGAGATTTCTGGAAATGATGTTCAGATCACTCCTGAAGCAGTTAAAGAAGAACCAGTCATACCAGAATTAAGACGCTCCTCCAGAATTCCTAAACCAACCCAGCGGTATTCTCCTTCTTTGCACTACTTGTTGCTGACTGACAATGGTGAACCAGAGTGCTATGATGAAGCAATGCAAGTGGAGAAATCAGTCAAGTGGGAGTCTTCTATGAAAGAAGAGATGGACTCGCTTATGTCAAATCAGACGTGGGAATTAGCTGAATTACCACCAAGCAAGAAAGCGCTCCACAACAAGTGGATTTACAGGATCAAGGAAGAGCACGATTAAAGAAAATGCTACAAAGCAAGATTGGTTGTCAAAGGTTTTCAACAAAAATAAGGTATTGACTACAATGAAATTTTCTCTCTAGTTGTAAAACTGTCTATAATCAGACTGGTGTTAAAAATTGTAGCTGCAGAAAATTTACATATTGAGCAGTTAGATGTAAAGACAGCTTTCCTTCATGGTGATTTGGAGGAATAAATATATATGAGGCAGCCAGAAGGCTTCATAGAGGCAGGCAAGAAAAACCTGGTATGCAGGTTGAAGAAGAGCTTGTATGGTTTAAAACAAGCTCCTAGACAATGGTACAAGAAGTTCGATAGCTTCATGAGTAGCAGTAGTTTTACCAGATGCCAAGCAGATCATTGTTGCTATATCAAGAGGTTCGACAACAACTTCATTATTTTATTGTTGTATGTTGATGACATGCTCGTTGCAGGCTCAGACATGCAAGAGATTATAAACTTGAAGCAAAAATTGTCGAAGCAGTTTGCTATGAAAGATCTGGGCGCTGCAAAGCAGATTCTTGGGATGAGGATCAAGAGAGACACAAAGTCGGGGACTTTGATGTTATCACAGGCTGAGTACATCAACAAAGTACTCTCCAGGTTCAACATGCAAGATGCTAAACCAATAAGTACACCTTTAGGTGTTCATTTCAGACTCTCCAAAGAACAGTCACCAAAGACAGAGGAAGAACTAGCACACATGGTGAAGGTGCCGTATGCCTCAACAATTGGAAGTCTCATGTATGCCATGGTTTGTACTAGACCAGATATTACTCATGCAGTGGGAGTTGTTAGCAGGTACATGAATAATCCAGGCAAGGTACACTGGGAAGCAGTCAAATGGATCCTCAGATATCTGCGGGGTACCACAAACAAAGCACTTTGTTTCAAAGGTGGAGATACGATACTGACAGGCTATGTAGATGCTGACTTAGCCGAAAATGTCGACATCAGAAGAAGCACTACATGGTATGTCTATACTCTAGGAGGAACTGCAGTGAGTTGGGTTTCTCAACTACAGAAGATAGTTGCTCTCTCTACAACTGAAGCAGAATATGTCACTGTTACGGAAGCCAACAAGGAGATGGTGTGGCTCCAAAGTTTCTTGGAAGAGTTAGGCAAGAAACAAGAAAACAATGTCTTGTATTGCGACAGTCAAAGTGTTATCCATCTAGCGAAGAATCCGTCTTTTCATTCCAGGACGAAGCACATACAATTGCGATATCATTTTATCCGGTCTCTTCTGGAAGATGGGATTTTGAAACTTGAAAAGATCAGTGGAGCTCAAAATCCGGCAGACATGTTAACAAAGACGGTGACTACGGACAAACTGAAGTTGTGTTCAGCTTCAGTTGGCATGCTAGAGTAACAAGTCTAAAAAAGTTGATGCATTGATCGAGGTGTGAAGACAGATTAAAATCAGTCTTCAAGTGGGAGATTGTTAACAATTCAAAGCAGCCGGTGGGCAACCAACAATTCAAAGCAGCCGGCGGCTATTTTTTGTCAAAAGTTTGGCAGATTTTGTTGATATTTTTAAGCATGAGAAAATTATTTTTAGTCACTAGACTTTAGGGTATTTACAAGATTAGTCCTTAAGCTTCAACTATAAATACCCTAGCTCATTTAGTTTCAAAATCATCCCAAAATCTTCTAGTTCTCTCTCAAGTGTGTTTTGTAAACACCTGTAAATTTTCTCTTTAGTAAAATATCTGCAACAGTCCGGAGACGTAGGTAAAATTGGATGAACTCCGTTATCAATTTTTCGGGTATTATTTTTCTGCTTTTATTTTGCATTCTCACTAATCTGGTTATAGGGAAATTACTTGTTACTCGGTTTATTTCCCAACACCATTATCCCCACCACCAGCTTCCTCTCTTCTTTTAATTTCTTTGTCCCACTTTCTATTCAGCCTTCTTTCCACCAAGTGCACTTTCTAATGTTTTTCTAGCTTGTTCCTGCAACCATATAGGAAAATAATGCACAATTAAACATGAAAAGAAGCATAGTTTTAAAGAAGCTGAACCGTAGGGTTCATCAAGTAACTGCTGAAAAGCAAATAGGATAAACGTGCAAATCCAATATCAGCTAACATGAAGTAATTCAGGATAAAAATAGAAAAATAAAGGAGAAATGAGTTGAATTGTGGTGGTGGCTACCTTTCCGCGATTATCCGAGAAAAGGCAGGAAAATCTGCCGTTGCATTTGAGACTGAGCAGTAAAGAGGTCCAGTCTCGGGCGACATGTTGACTGCGGGTCGCGTTGTTGAGCGATAGGAAGGCAGGTGATTCGGGTCGGGTCGAGAGCGATGAGGATGAGAGGAGAGGGTTTTGGTTTAGAACTTGCGCCACTGTTTTTCTCGCATCTCCCGCTCCCTCTGTGATTGAGTTAGGACTTTAAAGGCCACTCCAAATTTATCAAAGCCAAATTTATGTTACTTTTCATGGGCCCGAAATTGGATCGAATTTGAAAGAACACGTATTTATTTATCGGTATAATAGCAAAACTACCAAAGTACAAATAATCACTTTGTCCCTTATTTTTTGGATCATTTTAACGCTCAATGTTTTAGTTTTGAGCAAAATGTGTTATGGGTGAATAGAAATTATTAGTCGACTAATGGTAAGCGCTTACTATTGATGTAATAGGTCCACGTGTGATGTCACATCATCAAAAAATATTTTTAAATATATTTTTACAAGTGTATATGTAATTAATATAATTATAACTTACTCTAAAAATATTGTTTTTGCTAAACTGACATCACAGATGAATTTTTGACGTCCGTATGAAACATTGACAGTTGGTCAACTAACAATTTTCATCCAATCAGAGGACATTTTGCTATAAAATAAAACGTTGAGCACTAAAATACTAAAAAAATAAGGATAGGGAGCAATGTGTCCATTTATACAAACGTCGAGGGCAATTTTATTATTATACCCTATTTATTTTGCTTGTGTATTTTTTTATTAATATAAGATAATATAAGATAGTAAAAAAATTCTAAACCATTTTATAATAAAATACAATTTATATATTTTTCAGTTTATTCATATTTGATTTATATCTATTAAAAATATAAATCATGTTTATCTTTATTTGTTTAATATTATATCTATTTATATTCATTCAATGAATAGTAATAAATATTAAATAAATATGTATAAATTTAAATATTAAATGGGATGATTTATGCCAACAAGTATTGACACAAGTGGTTCGAATTTAGGAATTTAAATTTGTAAAGTCAAATTTGAATCCCACTACAGTCACTCATGTTGGACAATCTGTAAAGTCTTATGTAAATCACAATTGGATATTGAGTATGCCATGATCCTAAATTGAAGGAGTCACCCTGACCTAAACTTTTGTATACCCACAAAAAAATGGGATGATTTAATACTTATAAGTTTAAATATTATATCTTTCATATCATTAAAATTATTTTTTATTCGGTTTAAATCTTAAAGTTATTTTTTTAAAATATTCATACATGAATTAAGTGACTGTAAATGAATTGTTATTATTTTTTAAGATGATCGTATAACAATCCCAAATTTACAAAAAGAAAAATAGATTTGTACCCTCCCCATCTCACCAGCACTTCTCTCGAATATCCGGTATCAATTTAAACAAAAAGTGGAGCGAGAGGGAACATTTCGTCATTTTACTGAACATAAAGAATAGAAAGAACAGTTGGATAGAGAGTGATAGAGACAAAGAGGAGAGAATCAAAACGTTGGTTTGTTTGTTTTTTTGGTTGGTTCAGTTCAGTATTAGTTAAAAGGGGTATTACATGAAGGAAGGAAGCACGGTGTTGGACCAAGAGATATCAAGAGGGGTGAAGAACCTGCTCCGGCAGTCAGACCCCAGCGTCGCCACCACCTTAAACGGCGTCGTTCAGCAGCTGGAAGCCCAGCTAGGTGCCGACCTCTCCCATAAAGCTGCCTTCATTAGTGACCAAATCAACCTCTTGCTCCGTCCCCCACAAACCCACGCTCAGCCACCTCCTAAACACCATTTTAACCTCCAACACCACCCTCAATTTCCTTCGCATCAACAATTTTCTGCCCATTTTGCTCTCCAGCTTCCTTCCCATGAACTCAACTTCCGCCACCCTCATTCTCCTCTCACCGCTCAACCACCGCCGCAGCTCCAGCACCAGCACCAGCAACATCAACACCTGTCACCCCAGCCGGTTGTCACGAAAGCCAATGTTTCCACTCAAAATGCCGCTCCCATTGCCACCACTGAAGTGCCCAGAGAAAGGATTGCCGCCATTTTTTAGTGCTTTCTTTCTATTTTGCACTATTCTCCTGGTTGAACATTTTTTTGAAAGGGTGTTGTGTAAAAATTAGGTCCATTTTAGGGTTTTGCAAATACTATGATTTTTGGCACAAGGTTAGACCTTTTCGTACGTTTTATGCAACTTAGGTTGGGGTTTCCTGCCCCTGAGTTTAGGGGTTTTAGTGTCAGCTTGGTAACATTCTATGCCTCATTATGTGAATTTGAATATTTCCCTTAGTGTTCCTATCAATGAAGATTATCGCATTACTGATTACTGAAGTATTTGTGTGTTCAAATGCTATTGCAGTGCCCCGGTTGCACCCAAAAGAAGAGGTGGATCAGGGGGTCTGAACAAAGTTTGTAGTGTTTCACCAGCACTTCAAGCCATAATTGGTGAGCCAGCTGTGCCGAGGACTGAGGTCGGTTTCCCGGATTAACTAGATTACTTTCAGTCAACAGCGTCGAGTGTGGCGATTCTAACATGTATGTTCCTTTTGATTTAGATTGTCAAGCAACTGTGGGCATACATAAGGAAGAACAGCCTGCAAGATCCAAGTAACAAGAAAAAGATAATTTGCGGTGAAGCCCTACGTGTGGTGTTCGAGACAGACTGCATTGACATGTTCAAGATGAACAAACTGCTGGCAAAACATATTAGCCCTCTTGACCCATCAAGTTTGTGTTGATAGGTGCAAATATATTTTTGGTCTATGATGACTTGAATTTATTAATTTTGCTAATCCTCGCAGAGGAATCAAGTCAAACTAAAAAAGGGAAGGTAAATGTCGAGTCCACCACTGAAGGTGTTGAACCAGGCCCCAATCCTGTAATTATATCCGAGGCGCTTGCCAAGTTTTTGGGTGCAGGAGGAAGGGAGATGCTAGCTGCCGAGGCAGAAAAACGCTTTTGGGAGTACATAAAGGTTAATCATTTGGAGGTAGGAGCTGATACACAAGTTTATGCAACTCTTGCCATTAAACTCCAGTCTCACTCTACCAGCTTAAATACTTGGCTATTCCTCTAGCATCCGTATTAATCTCCTAAGAGGTTTCTGCTCTTGATTTAGGATCCATCAAATTCAATGGTGGTATTGTGTGATGTCAATCTTCGCGAGCTTATAGGATGCGAAAGCATATATGTGATGGGGATACGTGACTCACTACTACGTCGTCATTTATTTAAGCAATCCTGAGATCTCAGATATAGATCTGCTAGAGTTGACTGGTTCGTATAACTGCTTGAATAAGTTCATTACAGATAGTGAGGTCCTTTCTCTTTTCTACTTGTTTCGTTTGTTGTAATGCATCCATTCGACATCAGTTTCGAATTAGTTTGCTTGTTTATGGTCAGAATGAAAATTGTACCATGGGCATCATGGTAAGAATATTTTGTAGTTACGCCATTACCCCGGAACTCTAGGTGTACATCTCTGAATGATCAGTAGTGTATTCAGTATATGCATTATTCTATGTATGTTTTACTATGCATATTCGGAATTGAGTGGAATGTGCCATATTTTTATCTCAGAAACACTAATATTTATAAAGAATAAATCACAAAAAAAGTGTTATATTAATAGAATAACTTGTATTTCTACATTCCCTCTGAAAATCTCATACATAAGTAGGGTAAAGTATATCCATCTTGAAATTTGAATTTTTTTGAAGTCACCCACTCTAAAACCCCAATCATATTAGTCTCTGTCAACACCTCTGTTAATATGCATGCACTTTTTGTTAAGCCAACTAATAATTTAGTTAAACCACAACACTAGATGTTTTGTTATAATTCCCAATCGTGTATTGGCAATTTCTCTTTTATCTCATGTTGTTAAATGCTTTAACAGTTATTATAAGCACCTAAACCCTATACGTTTATCAACTTAGCTATCTTGTTTTGATAATTTGAGAGTAGTTGTTTTTGCATGTGAGTGTATTTTCTTAAGGTCCTTCAAATGTGATCATCATTGTCAAAACTTCCTACACATATAAATGGAGTGTGTGAGACAACATTGTCCAAACAAAAACAAGAGATATTGGGTAATGTTATTATCAGATATAGGGACAAAGTCATGATTAAATTACAAGGAAATTTATATAGTGATTTGATATCGAAAAATGATCGTTATATAACAGTAAAGATATCATATAAAATCGTTATTATACAATCGTAATACTCATAATAGCATCCACTATTACCATCTCGTGATAAAATACTTCACGATCCACTCCTAGTTGCCCCCATCATCACAAGACTATAATGTTGTGTGTTGGTTGAGGTTAAACCCTAATCTCTCTTACTCCTCTTATCTTAAACCCTAAAAATTAGAATAACAGAGTGGATTATTCGACATGCCGACTCCTTGAATCGGCCTCTCCATCTTCATCTCGATTTTTAGTAATCACTCAGAAAATCAATGTTACCCACCATTTCAGGCATGAAGTCCCTAATTTCCCCTCCATTTTCTCCCCTCTTCATTTTCCCAAAACCAAACCTTTTGCTTTCTTCTCCTTGCCCTCCAAAAAACTCAATCTCTCAAACCCTATTTTTCTCCACACAAACCCTTCGATGCTTTCACCAACACCCCCAACTTCTTCAACCCCAATTCGACAATCACATTCAGAAACAACTCAATCTTCTTCGCCGTGTGGTGAGGTCCACGTCATCGTTGGACTCATGTTTGCTGGCAAGACAACAACATTGCTCCGACGAATCCAAGCTGAAAGCAACAATGGCAGGTTTAAAGTTAAACCCTTTTTATTTATTTCCGTGTTTCTATTTTGTGTTGTAGAATTTAGTTAAAAATATGGGTTTTAAATGTTAACTGTCATGATTTAGATGGAAATTTGATCTGGAGCTCGTGAACTTTAGTTCTTTTTTCGTTTAAAGTTTTGGTCTTTGCTGTTGGATGAACGAATGGATTATAAATATTCCCAACTTTCAGGCCCAAGCTCCTGAATAACTAAATATGGGTTTAAAGGTTCTTTATTTTAATGGAGAACCGAATGAAGCTGTTGGTGTACTGTGGAATACAAGTTTGAAGGCAGATGCTGGAGATTATCAGGTTATGCTCGTCACTTGCAATGATGCATATTTAATGGGAGAAGAATCCATGTGTAAATGATTGTTGTTGGAATTGTTCCCTATCAATATCTGAAGATCAAGGGTTTAAAAACTGCTCTTGTCTTAAAAGATTCATGCTATGGTCTTATAGAAGTGACACTTGAAAATCCTATGTACTATTTTTAGTTTCTTGTACTGAGAAGCAGGGCTGGTTGAATGAAGTAAAAGTTCATATCTCGATCTTAGACTCTTAGCCTTTGCTTAGTACAAAGGATGAGAGATGGAAAAGAATGAGAATAAACAATTGTTGATCTAATGTTTAAGATCCATAACCACTTGCTCACTTTGTAGCTTAACCATTAGATTAACAAATTTTGCATTCTCACTCCTTTTGATCCTTCATACATGACATGATATTTGTATGTGTTGAGAAGTGTACATAACTTGGTGACCCTTAAAGTTGGTAGAGCTTTAGATCATTGCTTGATATAATTCCCCTGGCTAATTCTGTGATGAAGTTAACGGCTCGATGAGAACTTTGCCTGGAAACGAACTTTCTTTACCTTAAGGAAGACAGATGAGACACAAACGGAGTTGATCAGTGGATCTGATGTATACATGCCGGTGTGTAGGAAGCATTATGTGAGTGGACAAGTAGTGATTGAAACTGCAAGAAGTTTGTTGGAATCCCAGAAACTTCAAAGTGGCTCTTGCAAATAGTTCACATATGCTTGCTTATTAGACTATAAATGTATTTGCCGTCAATTATGAAATATTGGATTTGTGTTTGATTGGTAACAGTTAGAATGTAAAATGTAATCAGATTAAGAGGAAACATGGTTAATATAGCTTGATGACATATTTTATTTTTACTTTTGTAGTGAAAAAGGATTTAAGAAAAACTTGTCATGTTTTTAGTTATGTTTTGCTGCCATGTTGTCTTGGACTCTGGACATTGGGAATTAGGAGCTTTAATCAAATGTTCAGTTTGTTGGGAAGTAATTACAAGAAATCCAAGGGGGTGTTTTTAACAAAAGAAGTTAATATTACATTAGAGCCACACAAGATGACTGTACCATCATACAATAAAAGGTATATTACACATCATCTTAAGGAACCAACTGTCAACTACTTGAAGAGCTGAAGCACAGCTCGCACGACATCTGGTCAATACTGGAGAACACAAAGACAGTGGTAATCGTATTACACTGTCTCAAAAATATTTTTGCCGAGCCAATTGTCTTTTCGTAAAAATATCAACTTCAATAGTCCACCGTTCAATATCACACCATCACTAACATTTCGTCTATACATGTTTATTTTTTTTTACCATAATTTATAATGTCAAGAAATTGTATAAACCAAACGATCTCGATGATAAAAAATTATTATTCTTCGGTTTTAAACATAAGAATGCTAAGAGGAATTGTTGTTATTTCTTAAGAAAATTATAAACATCAAGATTTCAAGTTCAATGTCAAATAATTAAAAAGTTCACAAATAATTAAAAGTTATGATATTGCATTATACTTATCCTAAATTAATATAAAAAAATATTATAAATAAATTATCATATAACATTTTAATTCAATGTCACTTTCGCCAAAGTTATGCAAGATGTTTTGTCATTACAAATAATCAAAAATCTCCGTTCAAATAAATTAAAGATGGTAACGATTAATAAAATGATAAACAACAAAAATAATCGCCCATGTTTAAATAAAATTTTATTTTTCCATTAAAATTTCAAATGTAATAAATTAATCACAAACATTATAATTTATAACAAATCAATATACTTACAGTACCAAAACACTAATGTGTGTGAATTAATCTAGCTACCTTTAATCATACTTTGACACTTCTTCCTCTTCCTCCTTTACTGATTTTCAATTTTGGATTTAATTTGATGCAAAAAAATCTGGCCGAGAATGAACCTTCCTATCTTCCTCGACATTTCTAACAAAAGGTCAATCTAGAGTAGATGTTCTCTTGGCACTTAGCGCTCAAACCTTTTGAAAACATTCATCTTGATTTAATTCATCAGTGTCAATACAAGGACTTCTCTGCAGTACTCTGAACACCAAAGATACTGCCTCTCTTTTTGAACCATTATCGACTTCCATGGCAAGCAAGACTGAATTCTACGACTACATTTGTTCGAAGAAATTAAACAACAGATGTAGAAACTTTACCACGGAGCACTTCAAAGAGAAAAAATCCGATTCAAGTTGTTTCAAACACCACTTGCCACTGTATGCCATGAAAATAGTCAATCTCAAGTGCAGAGTTGTCAAGGATGATTGATTATCCCATTATCTGATCACTTATTTAAAGATTATAGATGTTAAAAAAAGACCTGCTCCAATGAATTAAACTACGAGCAAAACATTATTAGATAATGCACAACCCTAAACTGCCATATCCTAAAGCTAAAACAACCCAAGCCTGCTGGGGCTTGGGGGAAAAGGTAAAACACTTTCAGTTGGATAAAAAAGAGTGAAAATCACTATCACTTGAAATGGCCTCAGAATTGCAGAATTGACAGCAAGGCTTTATCAAAGCCATTCAGTCCCGAAAGATGGTGTTTTTTTTAATTGTTTTCCTCATCGGCCTCTTTCTACAAAACATTTATAAAAAAACCACTAACACGCCTAAACACAAATCAAAATAAAAAAAAGTAGCAAGATTGAGAAATCTTAGAAGGGGAAGAGAATGAAATGAATGTTTGTCACATGGCCAGTCCCAAGAGGTAATAGCAGCGACGCCGCTCCACAAGGCGATGGAATATGAGACTACCAGCCAACGGAGGAGCTCCCCGAAGGGGAGAACCGTCAACGTCAACGAGCGCTTTTCTATGGCGTTATCTTTGAGATTTACAGACAAAATTTCAGTTTGCCCCGTTTCCATAGATAAGGAATTTTAGATCCTCCGCCATATCGATCTTATTCAACAACGACAAAAAAAACACCAAAACAGCAGAGAATAAGAAAAGAAAAGAAATTAAATAAGTTCATAGTATATAGTTAGAGATTTTCAGATGATTTGCCGCCTCAGAACTTGAGATGTCGGAAAGGTTGTGCTATAATGCATATTTATAGCGCAATTTGGATGCTACTAGGGTTTTACATAACAACATAATAAATTAGGCCGTAAAAAGACCTAAGGCCCAACTATAAGCCTAAAACCAGATGAAATCATAACTTCAAATCCAACATTTTTTACGGTTATTCTCGACGTCCGTTTTATATTATATATTTAAATTTTAAACATAAATTTAATTATAAAAAATATGATATATTTTAGCATTATACCAATAAATATAAACAACATTTTAATCAAATTTGAAGTCTTTAAATAGAAACGAGATAAGAAAAATTCTAAAAATCAAATTCAAATTTGGTCTCGATTGAAAACTTTATGAATAGCACTTTGTCGCTCCTATTAAACAATTTTTAATGTTTAGGCATGATGTATCAAATTTGGATATGAAAACTATTTGATACGTTATATATATGTGTGTATGTTTAACTCCAAATACTTTTTAACCTTTATTTTTACTTTTTAAGTAATAATATCATTCGAAGTATAATTCACATATTTTTATGTGAAATTTTCCTTTTATCAAATTAATTTAAATAGATTATTGAATTTAAAACTTTATGTATTTTATTAAGAAAATAAATAAATTTTCACAAAAAATAATTTATTTTTTTAATTTTCACAGGAAATAAAATAATACAAATTTAATCACAATCACCATTTAGATTCATGCAATGATTATATTTTCATATAAGATCAATAAGTATTATAGACCTTAATCACAACGTCCATTTAGATTCATCAAATGACTATACCTATAATCACAATCATCAATTTAAATTCACGTTACTATTTTTGCGTAAGATCAATGAGTTTTATATATTTTAATCACAATCATCCATTTAAATTCCTCTATTACTATATTTCCGTGTAAGATTAACAAATTTTACAAGTCTTAATTACAACCATCCATTTAGATTCATCAAATGATTATGTTTTCGTGTAAAATTAATTGGTTTTAATATTTGTTAACATTTAAAAAATAGTTTGTTAAAAAATTAATTTGTATTAAGTGGTTTAAATTGTTAATAAATTATAGTAGTCAAATTGACAATAAAATTTTAGATTTAGACAAATTACCTTTTTTTATCATAAACAAAAATGAAAAACTTAAAATGAGAAATCAAATCTCCTAGGATAAATTAGATCCAAGTGAATAACAAAACAAGAGAGGTAGTAGTGCTGAGATTGATCCCTATGAACAAAAAGTCAATTAAAAATTTTGGTGGGGTGGAAGCAAATCATCATATATTTGTTAAACTCCCATTTTTGTATATATCGGCGATGCTTGTTTCCATTACAATCATCCTTTTTCTCCACCCTGCAGTCGTAAATGACATGTAAATCAGAAAATGAAAAGGGATTAGTTGAAAGCATGAGTTGCCGAATTCTTTATAGCCATCATCAGTTATAAAAGGTTATTCTATGAATTGTAAGGATGTGCAAGAGGCCTTTGAACTATTACCGCTAAGAAGTTTAGTTTCATACATAAAGTTTTGATATCACAAGTTGAATATACAATGCAATAGCAAAAGAATCTCAACTACGGAAGAAAGACTGAAAGATGTAAGAAACTTACACGTCTTTAATAGATAGAATCTGGGTGAGGAATCAATAAATTTGTATATGATTAATTTGTGTTTCTTCAGTAGTACAACGGAGAAGCTCACCCTAAACATAAAAGTAGAAAAAGTATGTCATAATCCATCTCAAAGAAACGTACTCCTGTTGAACCAACTAAATTACATCGTAAAGGCAACTATTAGTTTATCTGATTGCCACCAGAACAATAATTTGACACAATGTAGTTTATCTCATCAAATCATTTCCTCTTTAGAGTTGACCCTTTTCAGCTAATCTAGAAATTGCCTTATCAGTCTGAATATTTAGAAAGGAAAGAACAATGAATTTTGTGTGTCATGGTACGTATATGTAGATGTATATTCTTACCATCTGTTATGCTTTGAAGGCTTTCACTAAGGGTCTCTTGGATAGCAGGACTTATTGTCCAAGCAAGACGTTTAATACAATTCAATCTCAATCCTTTGGCTGTTAAACCTGAAAAGAGAAATTTCATATACAAACACATAATCCGAAATTGAGCAGTTCACTAATAAATGGTATCTAGGATGCACTAATCCATATCCATTAATCCATATCCAATATAAAGTGATATGAATTGTTAAACTTACAATTGGAAGTTCCATTTTTCTTCATCATCTCACCAACTGCAACCCCATCACCAGCAGGATCATTTAATACTCGAGCCAGATGCTTGATGCGATTCAAAAGTACCTTCGCTGGCAAGATACCTAACTTATGCACAGGGATTTCCAAACCTATTGAATAAATCATATGAAGAAACTAAATACGAACATGATAAGACAGTGTTTTGCTTCGAAGTTAACATTAATGGTAAAGTAATGGGAACTGACAGTGGGAACTTTTGATATCAAGCATTGGTCCTTGATCATCATTGGATCTAACAAAAGCATCAGCAGCATTAAACTGAGGAGGACTAGCATAAGAAACACGAGTTAAAGCATTACTTAAAGGCAGTTGAATTGGTGACGGAGGAGGGTTTAATCGAGCGGTTTCAGCTCTTTGTCTCCTCAATTGATAATTTCTTCGGCGTCTAGCGAGGTGCTTTTCTTTTTCCTCAAGGCTCATAGATTGCCTTCTTTCCCTGTCCCTAATACGACGACGTTCTCTCCCTAATTCCTTTCGCAACTCTGACCTGCTTGCTAATTCTTCCATCATCATTTCACAGCACAATTCAACACAATCACAATCCTAATTCAAAATTTGAGAAGATTTTACCTGCAAAAACAATTACTAAGAATAAAATATATCTATGCAATTCCAAGGAGAATAATTTATGAAAATATAGAAATTATTTCACAATTATAAGAAAGGAAATTACAAACAGTACTAAATCTAATGATTAAGCTGCAAACATTTCTGATCTCATGAATGAAACATCCTAAAATTCAGATCATTACATTTTTTAAGAGAGTAATGAAAATGGAGAAGGAAAACCCTAACCTGAAACGTGGAGTTGAACGTAGGAGGAAGAGAATCAGGAGAACAGATGAAGTGAAACCAAAGATCAAAGATAATAAGGCAAATGTAAGAATGAAAAACGGATAGAACAGCTAACCAGAACGAACCGGTGCATTTATTTTTCTCTTTATTATTATATTTTTGGGAAATTGCTTCTGTTCTTCGTACAATTGAAGTTGGGAACTGTTAAATTTATTCAAATGTTGTTCATTTCGATATTTGTTTTTTTCAGGAAAATAAATATTTATTTTCCTAAAAAATATTTTTAAATTGTTACTTTAATACCTTTTTATCTATTTTTTCTAAATTTAAAAGAGATTAATTCGTCAAATATCCCCAAATAATCGTATAAATTCTCATTGGTCTATGAACTTTAAATTAAGTCCTCAAGGTATTCGTACTAATCAGTTCTTTACTGTCCCATCATTGTCAATTTGGACGATAATATCGTAAGTACTACTTTCAATCTTTTATGAAATACATAGCATACTGACCCTAAACTTAAGTCTCTTCACTTCAATTTTATCAGTCCAGAAGTGACTAAATCTGCTCCAAGCTTTCAAAAGAGACACACCGAGATTTTTGACATTTCAGACTTTTTCTAACACTAAAAAAAACAACACAGAGCTAAAGCTCATATTTCTATAAATTTACAACACACACTATAGGGTTGATGGTTTAAAATTGAGAGAAGAAAAAAAATGTGGGGAGAATTTACAGAATCCATGGAGTAGTGACTGTTGGAATCGGGATTTTTCACCTCCATGCAGAAGAGGTTGCCATAGATCTGTTTCCCCACCCAAGATAGAGAGCCCCATCTCTCTCTACAAGTCTATAGTTATTGTCATACTCCTCCAGCATATCTCTTACAGCTGTTGTGACCGAGGAACTCAACGGATACGGAGAAAAGCCGGCCATTGTGAATCTTGACCTCCACTTCCCGAGAAGTTCGTGTCTTTCCACCCTTTCAGGCCCTTCGCAAGCAATCATATTCACGATATCACGAGCCACACAATGCTGCTCTGCATTGATCCTTTGTTTGTCGTCTATTGAACAAGCTACATCTATGGATTCAAACATAGCTGCGTAATAATCTAGTGTCTCGACGTACCTTGAAAAGAACGGGGATGTGTTGGTGTTAGACTCTTGCTCAACGAGGGTAACAACCTTGGGTGACAAACTCTTCACCAATCTCAACAGTCGATCTCTGTGATTCCAGATGGTTACACTCTCGTCGGGCATGTGATGCAATACATACGGAAAATTCACGACTACGGCTTCCCCAGGATGGACGTTAAGGTGCTGTAGCTGAATCTCACAACTAATCATATTAGTATCATGAAACTCGAATAGTACATTGTATGACTTGGCAAATTCTGATAGCTTCTGCCCCACGATATTAAGTCCCCCACCTCGAGCATGATTTGACTGAGAATCATCGATCCCAGTAACGTGGATAGACGGGGGCCCACCAGGGCGTTTTGCAAGAGCTGCAATAAGGAACATCCACTGGGTGCCTTGAGCTATTTGGAAGTCAATGATGTGAATTCTTGGCTCATATTGCACGAATTCCTTGATGACAGCATTAGCTGACGTGTATGCAAACTTCCAGTATGGGCAAATCCTGAAGAGAATACCCATGTAAGACATTAGTTCTGAGCTAGTCAGTTGTTCGCATTTCAGGGATTTGTAGATATTACTCCCCGAGGATTCCAACCTTGCCCTAAGCCCTTCCAGCACATAAGCACCCAATCGTTGGATTGGTTTCCCGGATATCGAAACCATTTTCTCCAATACATGCATTAAACCAGCCACTGTCGACATATCGTTGTCATAAAGTGCTCGACCACAGGCAACAAGCACCTCCTTCAAGTTTAATCTAGGAATCATGTCCATCAGTTGATTGTGGTTCATGCCTGCCAATGAACCAGATTGGTGGGCTCCTCTACTGAAGCGGTAATTGCAGCTGTCTATAACATCGGATTCAGGCCTCAACAAGGAAATTTCCAGCTCCCGCAGCTTGTGCTTCAACCCAATGCTATCATCATCAACAGCAGAAGATCCACTGAATGGTGATCCGTGATTATTGTCGGTTAATGATATTGACATGGTAGTCCGAGATAACAGATTAACATGACGGATGACATAACATATGGACTAAATTGGTAACTCAACCATGACATATAGACTGCCATGTCAACATCGTAGACCGCCACGTCAGTACTGTGAACTGACACGCTAGTACTGTAACGACAAAAAACGTTGACCAAATAATCACATTAAATTTATTTTCTGAGTAGAATGATCACATTAGAAAAATAATACAATAATCATATTAGTTTTTTTAATATAGAGATCTCTATGTTTTTATCTTACTTAAATATATATACATTTAATAATATCTAAACATTATTTTTCAATAACGAATAACGATACAAACCGTTAATATCATGTTTTCTAGATGCCTGAATCAGCAGAAACCTGTCGGCGCAGCAATAAAAATTACAAACAAAAAAAGGGCAGTTGATTAAATAATGACAATATGAGGGGTATTCTCTAAGAAACCGCGCCTGCCTGGAAGTGTGGCACTTGGCAAGACAGGTCGCTCATTCCCCGAAGCAACGTAGCCTTTCCCGGAGGAGTTTTTTTTTTAACTATTTTTATTACCAAAGTTGCAAATTCTCTACTCAATAAGATGACGTGGCAACGTGCGAATGGCAGCCGGCTTCCTACTTCATCGTGCATCACCATTTGTACAACAAAAAGAGGCGGTTCGATGAGATGAAGTTCAATGTGAGGTGTATATTTATAATACAAGGACTCACAGTACTTTTCCAATACGGAGGAGACTCTTTCTGGATCCATGCTTTTATATATTCTTTATGTAACCTCTGGTAAATCTTTCATGAGAGGTTCACCTTCACTTCGCCGTCCTATCACTTCAAAAGGTGTCGGCAAGGAACAAAATTCTTACGTATAACCATAGTTTAAATTCCATATTAAAATACACATTAAATTGAACGTGGATCTAATGCAAAGCAGACCAGCATCATTTACCTTATGATACGTTTGGTTTATGAAATGTAAGATTATCAGTGAGAATAAAATATTATCAGGTAATAGGATTACTGAGAATGTTGTATTTTTGTTTGGTTGGTTTAACAGGAATGTAAGATTAACGTATTTGGTTAAAGGAATAAAAGATTATTGGATGTATATTTGACCAAATTGTCCTTATTATATATTTGTATAATATTACAAGTTTTAAATATTTATATATTTTTTAAAAAAATTAAATTCATAATATTTATATATTTTTTTTCAAAGTTAAAAATATAAAAAAGATTTAATAAAAGGGTAAGATTTTATTTTAACTCCTGAACTTCATATAAAATTTTAATTATAGATTTTTTCTGTAAATCTAAAATAATTTAAGGATAAATTTGTAATTTAACCTTCATAGAATTTTTATTATTCAATGACAGAAGAATGATATTTTTGAAAAAAAAATTTAAGGGCATTTTAGTCCAAAACGCCGGTAATATTACAATACCTACGAGAATGGAGTTAATGACATTCCCTGTAATATATCCCAAAAAATCTACTATTGATAATAAAACATTACCGGGAATGACATTCCCGGCTAAACCAACGGAGAAATGTGGATTATATTCCCGGGGAATCCCACATTCTCCCATCCAAACGCCCCCTAATGATATATTCCCAAAATCACCATGTCCATACGTTCGTTCATCATTGACATATTGCCTTAACCAACAGTAAGTCATATCATATGATAATTATTCTAAAGTTAAATGCACCACACGAATCTGATTCCACCGTCACCCACCGCACTATACTTTATGTTTTTTATATGTGGTCTTAAAATAATTATAATTATTATTTTAGACTATTACAGTAACTAAGAAGACAACAAAATGGCGTCAACAATAAAGGACCTACACAACTCATTTGTTCGTCATCAAACTCAATATGAGTTAGACTATGAGTGGACATATATTATCTCTATGCTTTTTCCTTTTTGATTTGTTTGTCTTATTACCCAACCCAACAATAATTCACTATTGAACCAATGAACATCACTCTTCTTTCTTAGATTTACGTATAAACACTCGTTGAAGAATTACTTAACTAATAATTTGTGATTACTTCAATTTTAAAAAGATCGTTTACTAAATTTTTTATATAAATAGTATCTTAGTCAGTGTAACTTGATTTTGTTGGGTATTTTTTAACACTCTAAAGTAAAGACGAAATCAAAAGATAAATGCATTATTTTTTTTAATAAAATAAAAACATTCCATCTACTTTTTAAATTAGGGTAACTTCCATCTACTTTTTCTTCACTTTGGGTAAAAGAAGCAAGCGACCTATTCCATCACCTAATGCTCCTCCACCTCCTTCCCAAGTCATTATTTTGTCCAAAACAGTGATTATTTGTCTTAAATTTAAATTAAAGGATGAATTTTATTCTTTCTCCTATTCCATTAATTATATTTTAAATTTTTTTAATTTTTTCAGTAAATTTAATACATTTAGTTTTTTTCTATCATTCAATCGTTTTTTCACTAACAACATTATGACGTAGCTTTTTTTGTTATTAACATAAGAGTGATTAAATTTGTTATTTACCTATTAAAAATAAAATAAAATAAGCTACATCATATTGCCAATCATAATGCCATTAATAAGGAAACAATTGAGTGACAAAAAAAATCTAATGTATTAAATTTAGTGAAAAAATTAAAAAAAATTAAAATACAATAAATAAAATATAAGAAAGAATAAAATTCAGTTACTAGGTTTTTACTTCACCCTTTAAATTAAATTTAAGACGAATAATCAATGTTTTGGACAAAAGAATGACTTCTAAAGGAGGTCGAGGAGCATTAGGTGATGGGAATAGGCCGCTTGCTTTTTTTTACCCAAAGTGAAAAGAAAAACAACAGTTAAAATACGTCAAAAATTCATCGTAGGTCCTCATACTATTGAAAAAAAATCAATGTAACACTAGTAGTATTTTTTCTCTCCATGTGGTCCTCAAACTCAAAAAACAAATATAATGTGGCTCTTTGACCAATATTTTTTTGTCTTTGATCGTTATAGTACTGACGTGCTAGTTCATTGTGTTGATGTCACAGTTAATCTGTCATATTTGAGTTACCAATTTAGCCCATCTGCTATGTATACGTCACATTGATCTACCACCCTAGAATACCATGTCAACACCGTGGACTATCGCATCAGCATCGTTAATTGCCCAACAACACCCTAACGACTAATGATGAAAAAATATTAGTCAAAGAGCCACATTTAGTTTATTTTATGAGTTGAAGGGTCACGTTGAGAGAGGAAAAAATAATAAGAGGGTCACATTTCCTTAAAATTTTGAATGCAAATGAAAGTAATATATTTTAAAAGGTTGAAAATGAAACCCCTCAGTAGCGGAATTTAATATCTATTTAGTATGGTCCGACTCTGATCATCGATCTTCGGATATCAAGTCTCGTAAACGGGATTCAGTCGATTGAAAAATTTACATCAAAAGAAAGAAGAAACACCTCCTAACATGAAAGGCTACGATGGATGCAACCAATGTGAACATTTTTCTCTTCTCTGTGCGTGCTCACATGCATACACACCGAGTGTAAGTAGCTGTTTTATCTTCAAAACCATCAATTTCACATAATCAATCTCCTAGAATGCTACCAACTTAAGCAGCCCGGCATCCGTGCTAATCTCTTGCAGTCGAATGCCAAGGCGAAGTGTGGGATTGAACTCTGGTAATATCGGATATGCCATTCGAATAGAACCTCAACTACAATGTGAGTTCATGCCTGCAAGAGGCTGGCATCAAGATGAAATGGATGATAGAAAATAAAGCAACCACAATAAGCTAAAAATAAGTGTACTCTGAAGCAGGAAAATGGAAAAGCCTACCTGTTCAAGACCCAAGTTTTACACAAAGAAAAAGAGACACCGGTATGATATGGCATCGCCCAAAGAATCAACCAGAATACTTCCAATTCATAACAGCATTATCTAAGCTAGCCTGAACATTAAAACATATTTTAGCAAGCAAGAACCTTGGTACCTGGAATTCAAACCACGTGGATGGAGAATATCCTTCATATTGTAATACCGCGAAGAGACGCCAACCGAAAAGCTCGAATATTTTGATATATGAAGTGAAATTTCCCTTTACATTCCTCCTAAAGAAACTGACATTCACATAATTATAAGCTGTATGCTTTATGTTGCAGCTGTTGCTGCTTCTTCGGATGATATAAGATCAACATATATCCCCAAAAAAAGGTTTTATGCTTTACAACCTATGGTACTCACTTGGTAAACCCTCCATTCACAAAACATAAGTTTTGCGTTGATCAATTGCATCCCAAAGATATATGCGTTTCACTCCTACAATGGTGTTTTCTAACAATTACTCAAAGAAAAGCTCATTTAAATGGGATCTCAGACCCATTTAAGTCAATTTCTAAAGAGTGTAGCAGCAAGACAAATGCCTTGAAATTAACAACTTGGGAATCAGACAAAGCAATAAGATATATTTGCAAACATCTGTCCTAAACATAAACATTTATAACAAGAAAAGGGAATAAACGAGAATGGAAGAAGAAAAAGCGCTAGTTGTTGAGTCCACGTTTCTGGTACTGGGCGACCTCGCCCTCATTAGGAAAAAATCCCATGAGTCGACCCGCTGAGTTCTGGTAGGCATACATAAATCCTCCAATTAACCCTATCAGCCCACCTGTCACCATTGAAGGACCTTTTAATCCAGGTTTTATCCCTGCACTAACCAAATACCAAAAAGACCGGAGAAGGGTTTAAGCATTAAACCCCAAAACCTTTTTTCAGATGATAACAGGTTTAGAGGAAAAAAGGATCCAATTGCATTTCAATGTTAAAAATCGATGATTATTTTTATATGAAAAAAACAAAGGTTTTCCAGATAGGTAGCCGACGGTGACGGACACGCCTGTGATGGTGACGAAACGGAGGTAATCGAGTGTGTCGAAATTGCCAACGACTTTGGTGAAAGTAGGATTTCGATCTACAACTGGATACTCTGGCTTGGCCGAAGCTGTAATGTCTGTGTTCATCTTTGATGTTTTTTTGGGTTCTTTTTGCAAATGCAGGTGCTGTTTGTGTCTCTTTCAACGACTCGACTTCAGATGGGAGAGGTGAAAATGGAACAAAACACCCTCCCGGTCCGAATTTGACATGCTTTTTTGTGGTTGTTGATTGAACCATTAGATTTGGGCCTATTGATAAACCATGTCTTGATATGAACGGATTCTATTGTTATTGGGTTCATTGGGCTGTGAATTAATCAATGCTGATGATGTGATTTTCAATTCATTAATCAATGCTTTATGCAAGAAAAAGATGATCGATGAAGCTATTACCATCTTAGAGCTAATGAGTCAAAGAGATGTAAAACCCAATGTTGTCTCCTACAGTTGTTTAATACATGGATGTTGCAGTTCAGGTAAATGGGCTGAAGCAACAAGCTTGCTCGATAGAATGATGGACGAAGGTGTTCATCCTAATGTTTTAACTTTCAGTTCTTTAATCGAGGTTTTATGCAAGGAAAAGAAGACCGAAGAAGCCATTTCATTGTTTGAACTAGTGATTCAAAGAGGTACAAACCCGAACATTTTCGCCTACAATTGTTTAATACATGGGTTTTGCAATTCTAGTAAATGGACTGAAGCGGCAAGCTTGCTCAATAAAATGATGAATGAAGAGGTTCACCCTGATGTTGTAACTTTCAATTCTTTAATCAATGCTTTGTGCAAGGAAAAGAGGACAGAAGAAGCTATTACCATGTGGTGGACTAATGAGTCAGAGACATGTAAAACCCGGCTTTTTCACTTACCGTTGTTTGATACACAGGGTATGCGATTCAGGTAAATGGACAGAAGCAGCAAGCTTGCTTTGTAAGATGGTTGCAGAGGATATTGAACCTGGTGTTGAAACTTTAACATTTTGTTGGATGCTACTAGCAAACAAGGAACAACAGAAGCAGCGTATGAAGTACTGAAGTTGATAGACCACAAAGGTGTGATGCCTAATGGATTTACTTACAGGATGATCAGAATGTATTGTGTGCATGCGAAATGAATAAGGCACAAGATGCCTTTGATTCAATGGCAACCAAGGATTTTGAACCGGATTTAGGGACCTATAAGATGTTGATCAATGGGTATGTAAAGAGCAAGAGAAAAGAAGAGGCTTTGAGTATTGCTGAAGAAACGCTCGAAAAATAATTCACTTGATGTGGAAACTCGTAACATGCTAAGAGGTTTACAAGGCTATGAAAGATGTGAGGTGTAGACGGAGATTTTTTGTATACACAAAGACTTAAACTCAAACTTGTTTAAATGATATTAAATTGCTTATTATTTTAATCAATCTTTTGATTAAAATGAAGTACAATTTTACGGTAACATGAGTTGTTTTAGAACTATGTAATATGATCACTCCCAAGGGCAGTGATATTGTTTGAAATTGGAAAATTGAGCAGTGAGCAATAGCTGCTCTCCCACCCTATTTTATGTTCCCTAATAATTATAAGATCCAAGCATACGACAACGTCAACCCTTAAATTTCTATTTTGGTCTAATTTGGTTTTAATACCTCTAGTATATTATAATATGAGATTTAATCCTTAATTCAATATAATTTAATCATCCACTTTTATAATATCATTAGATTCATCCCTCCACAAGCCTTTGATAAAAAAGGAAAAAAAGCATCAGAGGTCCTTGTAATTTTAAATAACCAATATGATTATCGTATTTTTTCTCTCAATGTGGCCCTCTAACTCAGAAAATAAACTCAATGTGGCCCTTCGACCAACTTTTTTTTGTCGTTGACGTTATAGCATTGGCGTGCCAGTGTACGGTGTTGACGTGACGATTTACAGTGCTGACATGACGGTCCATCTATCATGTTTGAGTTAGCAATTTAGTCCATCTCCCATGTCATCCGCCACATCAATTTGCCATCATGGACTGCCACATCAGCACCGTAATGGTCAACGATGAAAAACGTTTGTCAAAGGGTCACATTGGATTTATTTCTAAGTTGGAGGGTCACATTGAGAGAAAAAAATAATATGAGAGCCACATTAATTTGTTTTTAAAAGTACAAGGATCTCTGATACATTTTTGCCTAAAACGTGCCTTTCGCGACCTCCCTCTGGTGATAGTTACCGCCTTTGGCTTACCAAACTATTTCAAGCGCCTTCAACCTCAACCTTATTTCTCTAATCAAGTTACAAATTTTCCAATTCAATTTAAGCGTTGTATAATAGTAGCTTTGAAAAATTAGACGATGTCAGAGAAGTTCTCGCCTACGCTCAGAATCGGAGATCTCAGCCATTTCATAGCACCGTCTCAAGCCTGCGTCGTTTCTCTCAAAGCAACCCCTAAGAAACCTGAACCTCAGGTACATGTTATACCTTCACTTAATTTCTTTCCCGAATTATCAATCTTATTTCGTGATTTTTGCAAACTTCGGTTCGGAATTAGGTGCTATAGTTTGTTTCGGGTTTGTAATTGGCTCCTTCTGTTTAGCTTTAGATGCTTTGGTTTGGTTCTGTTTTGTAATCGCGTAGGCTTTATTCTACTAATTATCGAATTATTTAGCAGTAGAAGAGTATGAATTTTCGTTATTTTTTGTTAAATTTTTCTTATTTTCAAATACTCTGCCGAAGGTTTTAGCTGCTAAGAGTCAGCAAACTGAACGAGTAAAGATTTCACTCAAGGACTGCTTGGCATGTAGGTAATATGTCCATCTATCTTTGGCTTATCCATCATGTCCTTAAAATAGCGTAGCTTGCGGATTAGATTAAAATTTTTTGTTTGTTAAAGTAATTGAAATTGCTGAATGTTGATTGTCTAATTTATGACTGCCAATTGTTATCTTGATGAAGGCTTTATTTGTTTGTTTATGTTTCAAGTTTTATTTACATTGAAGGTATGTTTGTAATTTCTTTTCTATGTTGTAGTGGGTACATAACATCGGCAGAGACAGTGATGCTCGAGATGCAAAGCTTAGATGAATTCCTTTCCAATATTAATAAAGGGAAAGCTGTAATCGTATCCCTTTCTCCACAGTCAAGAGCCTCCCTTTCTGCTCACTTCGGCATCCCTCCACTGAAGGTACAATGGAACACTAGAAACTTTTAACCTAAAACTCTCTGATAGTGGCATTCTACCCCCTGACATGCTCTTCTGTTACATTCTAACTATATGATATGAAAAGCAGAGAGGGTTAAATCTAGAAGTTTTCTCACCGCACAGGTATGCCCATTCCACACCCTTCCTACTTGTACTACCTTCTGACTACATCTGTGATTCCTTGTTTATTTTTTTGGTTTTCATTTCATTGGAAGTACAAGAAAATGTTGCCTATATGTTATTTAAGTTTAAGATTTCTAATTATGAAAGTTCTTTTCTCATTTTCAGGTTCTCGAGAAACTCACAACCTTTTTAAAGTCCTTGGGAGTAAAAGCTTTTTTTGATACTTTTTGTATTAGAGACTTTACATTAATTGAAACTTGTCACGAGTTCATTGCTCAATATAAAACAAAGCCAAGCAAATGATGACGAGAAAATCAAATCCTCACTCCCAATGCTGTCCTCATCATGTCCGGGTATACATTCTATTTGTAAAAGTTGAGAAATCATTTAATAGCATTCTCTCTCTCTGAAACCCTAAAAATGCATATGCACATGATTGTCTGAATTTGTGCATTATATGTGGAGAAAAAGACTATGTATGGGATGTCATAGTAATTTATGGAATTGCTGTGCTCAAAAGAGTTTTTTCTGTGTGTCTTTCGTTGATTGCAGGTTGGATATGCTATACTGAAAAACAACTTGGATCATATATTTTGCCATACATATCCTCAGTAAAAAGTCCTCAGCAAAAGGTCCTCAGTAGTCAATGGGAGCTGCTCTTAAGCATCATATATGTCAGACAATGGGTTTAGGTAGTCTTGTCTATTCAACTTTTATGCACCAGACTTCTCAGCAGTCAATGGGAGCTGCTCTTAAGCATCATATATGTCAGACAATGGGTTTAGGTAGTCTTGTCTATTCAACTTTTATGCACCAGACTTTGGCTTTCTTTTTGGTCATGGTCATACTATAAACAACAGTTGTTCTAGCAGAGAGAACTTAAAACTTGTAATGTACTCTGGTAATGGTAATGAATTGCTTGATTAGCTATTCTCATAATTAAAAAAAAACAACTAAGATTTTGCTAAATTTTGTTGTTACCAATGAATTAGAGCATACTGATTTAAAACTACTCAGCCTCCAACCCTACTATTGGCATAGAAAAACTAGAAAACAACTAAATATTGAGGGCAATAATAATAAGAAAATCATATTCATTTAACATACAAATGAAGGAGAAGGAATATGGAATAATATCTGGTGCTTTATATGTATTTGTATCATGAAGTCACTTTCACAGTCTGTGTGCCTCCAAATTAATGAGAATGATCAAAGGATAGTTCTAATTGCTTTCTTTATTAATGTCACAGAACATCTCCCTACTCCCTCTACTCTTTTTTATTTACTATTCAGGTGCTATAGAAAATTAGCTTTTTATCTAGGACTATTTTAGGAAAGCCAATTGTGAGTTAGCATCTTATGAAAATTTCTAGTTTTATATCTCGATACTACCCAAATATTAGAGGAAATGGTGCATGCCAAAAACTTTGCATTGTCCTTGATGCTTGAATGACTGGATTATTCATTTTACTTGATAAGCCGGAGAAGATATACCATGTAACTGTGATGCCATGTTATGATAAGAAGCTTGAGGCTGCCAGGGAGGATTTTGTTCTAGTGATGGAATCCACTCTGATGAAGGTCTTTGTATCCCAGAAGTTGACTCTGTCTTGACCTCAGGGGAAGTATTAGATTTGATACAGGTGAAGTCAAGGTTGCACATTATCTTAATTTCGACATTTCAATGTATTATTTGGTCATTTTTTAAAAATTTATTTGGTCAATTTTTGTGGTTGAAAGAAGTTGATTTTAAAGCCTTGGAAGTGTTGCCTCTTGATAGACCGTAAGTACCACAGTTATTGTCTTTAAAGTGACTCTCTATTCCTTGTTGTTACATACAAATGAATAATATGGTTACCATTCTGCAGGTTGACAATTTTTGATGAGCAAGGACATCTTTATGGTGTCTCAGGAAGCTCTGGAGGTTATACTGAAACTGTCTTCCGCTATGCTGCAAAAGTTCTCTTTGGAAGAGAAATTGATGGGCCGTTGGACTTCAGAACTATAAGAAATTCTGATTTCCGCGAATTGAGTCTAGAAGTAAGTTTGCTTTTTAATTTGATGTTATACACTTTAGGAATAAAGAGTCCAAATATAAAATGCAAATTCAGCCTGAAGAGTTCCCTTTCTGTAATGTAATCTTAGTTCGCAAAGGTTGTATTGAAATTGAATCACGGATCTATTATTCAACATATATGGCTCAAAAATTCATCGAAGCAACTTTTTTTTTTCTATGTTGATATCCTGACAGTCCACTATGTAGGTGGAGGGGAAGACTGTGCTGAAATTCGCCCTATGTTATGGCTTCCAAAACCTGCAAAATATTGTCAGGAAAGTTAAGACACGGAAATGTAATTATCAGTATATGGAGGTTATGGCATGCCCTTCAGGTTTCTGTTTCGTTGTACCCTCTTATTTATTTTTTAATAATGAATTGGATTTGAAATGTTCACTTGTAACTTTTTATTAGGATCTGGATTTTCATTTTTAGCATAAGAGTTTTAATGTTTGCAGGTTGCTTGAATGGTGGAGGGCAAATCAAGCCAAAGCCAGGACAATCTCTAAAGAAGTTAATCAAATCACTAGAAACTGTTTACATGGAAAATGTGAGTTTCTACGTTAGTTATCAATTTGTCCACACGTTTTTTAAAATTTAAGCTTCTATGCTTGTGATGCTGTAATACTAAAATTGAACTGATTTCACATGCTACATGAAGCTTAACGTTTGCATGCATATGCAATCAAGCTGTCTTCCGAATATCCACATAGCTCAAAAGTTCCAAGTGGGGAGAAACTCTGCATCTAATCCTTTTTTGTTTTAGATTTTTTTTACTCATTCTTCTTTGTTAAATTAGGTCCTGGAAGCTGATCCTTTCAAGAACCCTCTGGTGAAACGGTTGTATGATGAGTGGCTTGAGCACCTGGGTTCGGAAAAGGCTAAAAGGCACATGCACACGGGATATCACCCTGTTGTAAAAAGTATCACTGCTCAGTTGCACAATTGGTAAACACTTTCTAATATCTGGTCCTGTACAACATGGGAACTTTCCCTCCCTCTTTTGTCTCTCCTTGTGTGCATTTCATTGTTGGCAGCTGTGGCACGTTGTTGCCTGGCCGTTTGATCCTCTGTATTTGCAATTGCAAGGAGACCAATTTTGACAAGGAGATATTTTGTTTGGAGGAAAATTATTTCTTATCACATCTTTCTTTTTTGCTAAGTGGGTATCATATCGAATATGATATGCGTTCGATACTGGCATACTCATTTGTTTTGATCTTTTCATGCATTCGATCATACCCATGTCAGAAGGTGTGTTTTTGGACAACCGACGGACACATACTTTAGGGGGGAAATGTCTGGGTAACATTACTAACATAGATCTTTTACGCATATGCTGTACCTGTATTATATATTAGACGGGAAGGAATTGATTTGTGTTCTCAAGTATCTTGAAACATTAATAGCATATATTGGTGTGGAGTGGTGAGCAAATAGTTAAATTTATCTGGTTCCGTCGGTTTTTTTTTCTTTTTCTTTATCGGACTCAACAATCAAATACAAAAACTGAATCAATCCGCCTTTGTGGTCTAGACTGAATCAACCCACTTCCTGTAAGTTAACATATATTCATATTACACTGTTTGAGCTGAAGCTTAAAAAGTTTGCCACTGGAATCACCTATACCATATCTATAACCCCCAGGGTTTCTTGTTCAAAGGGGGATTGAACCATGTGTCAAAGTGAGCTCTAATTTGGGCTTTCACTTAATGGGTTTTGGTGCAGCTGGGCTTTGCATTTTGGGTTCCAAAACCATGGGCCACTCAATTATATGCGCCTCAAGTAAAAGGATATCCCCATCCCGGTTACTGTTGTTTCAGAGTGGCATACAATCATCCACATTTCTGCATTCAACATTATGGACTTCACGATCATACACACGTTACGTAAACTTCACGACTGCCCCATATCCTCCCGTACCAGCTTTCATTATTTAACACTATGGTAACAAACAACCAAATGGTTTAATCTTCAATTCTATCCTTTTTATTTTATTTTATGAATTACTAAAATTTATTTTTAATTCTTGTATTTTTACCATGGTATGAATTATAGATGTTCCTTGTTTATCTATTGAATGGTTTAAGCATAAACTAACCTCACCGAGTTAAGTAGGACAATATAAGCCGGACAAAACTAGGACGACTAATTTCTCAGTTTTTTTTGATATAGTTGAAGGATGGATTTCAAATTAGACCCTAGAGAAAGGGTAAAGGATTGAGATGATGAGTCAGCTGAAGGACATATATCTACCGGGTCCTGAGATGAGATCGTACTACTTGCCTTTCACTTCCAAACCCTGATTAATAATATTAGTGTAGGTTTTGTTTTATTTGTACACAATTACTAGTAGTTTAAGAATTCTGACTTTGGTTTCTCGTAATAAGAGATTGGTAGGTGGATTATATTGTCATATGTGTAATGTCAGGCTTAGATTGTTTAAACAATAATAATCTACTTGGGAGAGTTTTATCTTGTATTTAGAGGTATGATCTGTGTGATTATGGGACATCTAAAGTTAAAAAAAGAATAATCATTTTGTTGTAATTAGTAGTGATGAGTTGATTTGTGATACCTACTGGCAGCCTCCTGCAGTGATAACGGTAGCGTTGAAGGTTGGTATGCACTGTGAAGCATGCGCTCAGGTTTTGCGGAAGCGAATCCGGAGGATCAAAGGTCTACTTCATTCGTTATTATAATATTAATCGGATTCGAGTATAAATGATGAATATATAACTTTGAGGATGCATTGATTGATCGCAGACGTTGAGTCGGTAGAAACAGACGTGCGAAATGATCAAGTTACCGTAAAAGGAACCGTAGATCCGACAAAGCTGGTCGAGTATGTATACAAGCGAACCGGAAAGCAGGCAACCATAGTGAAAGATGAAGAAAGGAAGGAAGAGGAGAAAAATGAACAAGAGACTAAGAAAGAGAACCAAGTCGAAGATGATAAAAAGAGTGACGACAACAAACCAAGTGAGTATTTTCCATCAAAGTATTACTCCGACTTGGACTACCCTCCACAGTTCTTCAGTGATGACAATCCAAATGCCTGCTCTCTTATGTAATTTTCGCAAATGCTACATTGTATTTTGTATTAAGACCCACTGCTTAGTTGTTACGTTTTTTGACATTAGCTGTGTAATTATAGGTTTTGTGAACCATGTTATGGTATGATTTTTTATCCCAAATTAATTTCAGACTTCAAATTTAACCCATATTTTTTTATTTGACCTCTTTCTATTTTCATAATGTCATTAGTTAATCTAAATCAATGTTGTAGGCACTGGACCTTTATTTGTTGGTGTTAAATATTTGAACTAACAATTTATATTATATCAAGTTAAAGCATAAGAGCTGAATCTGTATTTGAACACACACAAAGGACCAAAACCATAATTTAAACCGACCTTTTTGAAGTTTTCAGTCTTAATTGCTAACAAAGATACACAAATTGAGTCGGGGGGAATCTTTAGTTTAAATTTGATGGGGACCCAAATACTTATATATAAATCATGAAAACAAGATCAGAATGTTCACAAGTTTACATCTATACTTACTGATAAAATCACAATCATATGATCACCAGACACTACAAGATTCCATATAGAGACACTGTCTAATACTATCGCTGGACGGGTTTTTACAGCAGCACAGTAGCATACTTGGACCGAAATCGATGAGTCGATCCGAGTGCCACCATGGGATGACCGTTCTTCCCCTTCTGAATATACAGATGATTGAGGATTACATGCTTTGGTCTTGACAGAGGAGGTGGTATCTCCATGTGATATGTAGGCAGATTGAGCAATGACAGTTGTAGGTGCGGAGGAACGAGTGGTAGTTCCTTAGCAAAATCTTCCGCTCCAAGCGGCAAACTACTGTAACTTGACTCAGGGGACTGGGGAGGTTCAAAACTAGATGTACTTTCGATATCTTCTGGAACATAATCCTGAAGGGTATCCATTCACAATTTGCATTTCTAAGTAGAAAGTTAAGGAAAGGAGACGGAAGATAAAATACAAGCATGTATGCATATTATTGTTTTGTTCAATAATATCCTAAGGCACTCTTTTTCTCCTTCGCTGATTAAGGAGCTTATCTACAAGCACCTTCAATCAAGGAGGTTTTTAATGAGGCCTGAAATTCTTATAAAAAAAATAGAACGTACAAAAGATGAACGTTATAGCCAAGTGAGAGTCGGTGCTTTTGATCACGTGGAGCAAAAAGCTTCGTCGCTTTGGCTTAGCAATAGATGAATCCAAACCATAAGAGCAATGCCAGCATGATTAGCAGAGGTTATATGTTTCCATAGACGCCAAGGAATGAATTTATTCCAAGACAAAAATATAACTCAATAGAAAAGTTATCCAAAGAATGGAATTCACCTCATCAGGACAAGAGCGGAAATACTCATGGAACACACCCGTATTCAATGAAAACAAATAGTTGAGAATCCTAAAACTACAAATACCAAACTCATTACAAGATAAGAACAAAAGAATTTACCTGCAAGTCCAAAAGGTTGTTAGCACTGCAAACAGCATCTTGAACCCATGGCAAGTCAGGGGCATACCTCCACTGTCCGTCAACGATGAACCAATACTGGTAAACACCTGATGGAACACTTTCATGATAGTGAAGTCTTTTCTACATCTCTGCAAAGGAATTCTGATCAAGATTGCAAGTAAGTTAAATGTTGGACCTGCAATAGCAGTTCATAAGGAGCTAACTATTTTTCTTTAGATAAAAAAGTATAGAAGGCAGTGAATATCTGGAACCTTGTCTTCCAGTTATCCCATGATCCCTCAACATCAGCTTTTTTGCTACCATAGCTCCAAGTAATCAATGTTGGAATTCACTTCTCACTGCAGCCAATGATATCCTCATATCCTATTGTACTCTGCAACCACAACTGGTTCGAATGCATCTCATCGGGCCTCTGTAAAGGAAGAACGGGAACCTGGGAGGAACGAAGGCACAGTGTATAAAACCGGCAACTTTCAAGAGAAATAGATACATGTTACTATGCTAGCAGACTAGAAATATATACAAGTTAATCTCATCATAATGTACCCTCGAGGCTTAAAGTTATAACAGGAAAAATCATCTGGCATGCATCAATGCAGAACTATACCATTTTCTGCACAGGGAGCACACAGTAGAACAGAAATGACCAGATTCTATGGCGTTCACATTATATACACATCATTTCCACATAAGAATTTTTCTCTCTACCTGAGGGCCTTTGAATACATAAAAAAAGTAATAACATGAATTTATTCATATTTACTTAGCATTAAACAAATAAGCAATAACATGAATTTATTCTAATAAGTAATCATTATCTTTGTCTAAATTTATACATTGAACATATATATACATGATATGAAGAAGCCAGATTTGCATGCAACACAATCAAATCACATTCCATGAAATCGAAATCCCCAGAAAAGCGTACCTGAGGAGTAAACATGAGAGGAGAGTGGGTGGATGAGGGACTGTGAGGAGGTGAGTGACCCATGGGTGCAGCCAAAGTTTCGAGAATATTGTGTTAGAGTATGCCCAAAGACCAATTATGATGATTGTAATAATACATTTATTTACCAATTTTATTGAATAAAGGCATTGCCACTATTATTTTCAATTATATGTTTGTGTTTAACATAAACTGAAAGATAATAAAATTCATGTAATAACATTATTATTATTAAAAGATCCATAGTCAAGTATTATTATGGGCATGGACAATAATAATACGCTTAAGACTAACATGTTATTGATTGATAACAATGAGTTGTCTTTGACATAGAGATGTCCGAATTGATATATGATTATATTGTCTGAGAATAATGTATTGGATTGACCCACCATGAGCATATGTCTTGAATTATTATGTAACGGTCATAACATTGCTCATGGTGATGACTATATGTATGATCCTCAGACTTGAGATCAATGTTATCCCAACATATATTGTTGCATGTTTTGATACAGTTAAACATGCTCCGTAACTGATTGCACTATAAAAATTGTTATTGAATATATCTCGATATATATGTAGTGAGGTGTATATGATTAAGATAGGATTTTTCCTTCCTACATAATAGGAAATATATCACAGGTCACTTGATTGAGTGAGACTGGAAATGCATAGCCATGCTCGAATAAGTTGATATGAGATATCACAAATTATTCGTTAATTATAGTCTACTCTAGACACCAAGAAACAATATATGGGTTATAAGTGTGACTATTCCAAGACTTGTGCCTATTCTGGATATAAAGGACAAAAGGATGTAATACATAAAAGAGTTAATCACGAAAATGATATGTCGAATCATAATTTCTTGTAACTTAGGTGATAATGATATATTGCTAGATGTCGCTCATTGTATGTAATATTAGAATTGTTCTAATAATTACTACTAACGTTACAATAACCTACAGGGTCACACCCTAGGATTGAAATGAGCAAAGATGTACAATTTGTTGTATGCTACTAAAATATATCTAGTGTTAATTTATGTATATTTGATATACATATGATTTAATTATCCCGAATATAGTAAGTAAACATTAAAAGAATGTAATTTCGATTACAATGCTTTTAGTCAATATTTAATTCGGAATAATTAAATAAGAGTTTAAATAAACGTTAAAGATTGTAATTCAAATTATAAGTCTTTAATGAATATTTAATTTGAATTAATTAAATAAGATTTTTTACTAATTCGAAATAACTTAAAATCCCTAATATGTTACGGTAACTGATATATTTAAAGTGAAGTAAGGTCTACCAACCATTCTTCTTCAGCCGTTTTTTTAAAAAATATTATTTTTGGGAAAAGTAAATTTTGCTCTCAATCGGATGAACTAAGTAGAGGCCAAGACGTGTTTTCGTAGAGGCTTACGATTCGAACCGTTTGTGATCACCATTAGTCGTTGTTGTCTTTGATGTTTTTAAAGGGACCCATTGTAAGTATTCGCATCATTTCCTCCCGATTTCGGTTTTGCGTACAAGGATCGCTGGTGAGACTGTCAAATTTTTGTTTTCGCTGCGCCATGGGGTGCGCCGACGGTCCTAACATATTGTTACCCTTTTCTTCCTCATCATCAATTCTGATGGGCTGTTACTGTAGAAACAGAGTTTTTCGGCACTGGTAAACAGAGTTTTTCGGTTATGGTAAACAAGAATTTTTTATTCTGAAATTATTTTTATTTAAAAAACAGTTGTATATTACACAAGATGATACATGAGATTTTTATATACATGAATTAGAGACCTAGATAAGATAGGAGTCGTCTTTTATACAAATTAGGAGATATTTTTAGAGATGAGTTAGGATTCAAAGTTTAACTTAAACACTACTTACACTCCCCCTCAAGATGAGGAGTGAATATTATGAAGACCCAGCTTGGATGTAATTTCGTCAAAGGTAATCCTTGGAAGTTCCTTGGTCAATACATCTGCTAGCTGGTTTTGTGAAGGGACGTAGTTTAGTTTCACAGTTTTGTCATATACTTTTTCTTCCATAAAGTGTCTGTCGATCTCCACATGTTTTTGCAATGCTTATCGTAGATTTGTTGTCACTCTGAAGTTCAAAAATGTTGTTGCAGATCTCTAGTTCAGTTAAGAGTCTTTGTAGCAAAATTTCTTCACACATTCCGAGTGCTATCGACCTATATTATGCTTTTGCACTACTTTTAGAGACTACTGATTGTTTCTTGCTTCTCCATGTCTCTAGGTTTCCCCACACAAATGAGCAATATCTCGTGGTTTACCTTCGGGAAAGGATATCCCGTGGACACTTAAAGGAAAGAATCTTTCTAGGCAAACGATTGATTAAAAGTAGCTGTTAAGAGAGCCTCACCCCAAAGGTATTTCGGAACATTAGAAGAAAAAAAGTAGTGCTCGGGTTACCTCAAGAAAATGACGGTTTTTAGGTTCGACGACCCCATTTTTTTGTGGAGTGTCGATGCAAGAAGTGAGTTGGACTATTTTGTTTTCTTGGAAGAAGGATCCCAACGACTGACAGAGGTATTCCCCACCATTATCAGATTTAGGATGCCAATGGAACTTTGGAATTGTGTTTCAACCATTTTGTGGAATCGTTTGAAGATGGTACAAGACTTAAATTTGTCCTTCATAAGAAAAGTCCAAGTGGTACGAGAGTGGTCGTCAATAAAAGTAATAAACCAATAAATTCCATGTAAACCCGTAACCAGTGAAGGTCCCCAAATGTCACTATGAATTAAAGAAAAAGTTTAAGCGAGCGAGAGAGAGGAGGATAAGAACTCCGAATGTGTTTTTCAAGAGAGAAAATGTCACAATAAAATGATGCATGATTTTTATTGATAATAATTTGGGAAACAATTTTGTAAGATAAGAAAAACTTGGGTGACCTAACCTAAAATGCAATAACACAATGTCGGTAGCCACATCTGTGGGAGAAACTGAAACAAAAGAAGAGATAAATGGTGCAGGTGAGTGGTTGGGAACGAGAGTATAAGGAGGAGCGTCAAGGATGTAGAGTCCACCACGACGCCTAGCATTGCCAATTAACATCCCCGAGGTCAAATCCTGAAATTCGCAATAATCACGAGTAAAATGAGAAGTACAACCAAAATCGGTAGATAATTTGCTAATTGAAAGAATATTGCAGTCAAACTTGGAACAAATAGAACATTAGACAGAGTAATGTGGCTATTAATGCGAATTGAGCCACTGCCCTTAACTGGTGCCATCAGCAGTAACACTGCATGAGATAACATTTTTGTGAAATGTGGAAAACAAACTGAAGTTGCCCGTCATATGATCACTTGCTCCGGACTCAACAATCCAAGAGACACGCCCTGGTGAATGGGATAAGAAGGTAAAAGGAGAACTACCTTCACTAACAGTGTAGACAGACTTGGACGAAGAATGATATGCCATGACTACTGAGAAATTGAGAGCTTGGGATATGTCGTGAACTAGCAGGGAACACTGCTATAAGTGACAATCGAATATTTGAGGAGATCGACGCTAGGATGAGTATCAAATGGGCTGTGCGGGGAGGAGATAGTGTTTATCTGACAGTTACCAATAGCGGCATAACAGGTACCAAATAGCGGAACAGAAAGGGATGCCGTTGTGACAAGGGCAGCGCTAAACCGGAGGCACGACAAGAGCAGTACGACGAGGAGAGCAGCGTTGTGACCGAAGCGGCACTGCTGTGGTTGCGCAGCAAGGAAGACGGTGCTTCGAAGGGGCGGTGCTGCGAAGAAGACGATGATGCGAGGAGAACAGGGCTGAGATGAGGACGATGCTGTAAAGGGTTTTACAATTAGAAGGATGGCAGTGCAAAGAGTTTTCCAGCTCTAGTAAACAGAGTTTTTCGGTTTTGGTAAACAGAGTTTTTTGATTCTGAAATTATTTTTATTCAAAGAACAATTGCATATTACACAAGATGATACATGAGATTTTTATATACATGAATTAAAGACATAGATAAGATAGGAGTCATTTTTTTACAAATTAGGAGATAGTTTTAGAGATGAGTTAGCATTCAGAGTTTAACTTAATCAATACTTACAATTACTCTCATATTCTCTTCCATTCACAGTCCTAATTTCTCTCTCTCTAGATTATCAAAATAGAGAAAACCCAAGCTCCCACCACTCACAGAATCTCACAATTGATTCATAATTCCCCCACTTTAACATATACACATAATTTTTTTTTTAAAATAAAAAAAAGAAACCAGATGCAGATTTAGGAAAATTATGTAAAAAAAATGAAAGAAAAAGAAAAATGAAGAGAATTGTGCGATGACTTAGGAGAGTGATGAACTAGTGGGGAGCTGGGGATGAATGGATGAAGGTCACGCCATCGTTTGACAGTCTTTTGGTTCTCGGTTGTTTTGGTTTAAGGTTTAAGGCTATATAAAACTATGACCTCCCCTCTCCCTCTCCCTCTCCCTCTCCCTCTCCCTCTCCCTCTCCTCTTCTGTCTCCCTGCTTGTAATGCCTAGTGCCTGTCTTCCCCTTTCACCTCTGCTTTATATATATACAATCTGTTTTTACTTCGTTCAATTATTACACTTTCTTAAATAAAAATCAACTCTATTAACTTTCCTTATTAACATTCATTTACTCCTAAACAACCATCCCGACAATGAAATTAAAGGCAAACACGATAAAACGACGAACTCGATTCAGCTCTTGTCGGCTCCGGTCGTAATGGTTCTTTTTTAGGGAAATGGTCGTCGGGTGGAGGCGCAACCTGGTGAGGTTTTTTTCAATGGTAACATCGGTAAGGGTTGCGGTCGACGTGAGTATAGAGATTAAATTAAGTGTTTTTCAAAGTTTAGGTTTTTTTAAAGATTTTTAAAAAATGAGTTTTTTAATATAATTTTAAGTTTTTTTTTTAATTTTTAAATTAAATTTAAAATTATTTGAATGTGACATGTCTTCAACAGTAAATAACGATCGTTACGGTTTGGGTACCAAAAATAAAAATATTTATAACGTTAGACACATGAATGAATAAGAAAAAAAATTAAATAATTATTTAAAAAAAGTATAATTTAAACAATTATTTTCTAATTAAGCCAACAAATGACGATGAATTCATTGAACAAAATGGAGAAGCAGAAGACTTTCAGTAAGAGGAAGTGGCCGAAATGGTGGCCCACTTTAATGGAGTGGTCCGTAAGTGGCGAAGCAATTAGGTGGGAAGGAATCCAATCTGAGCCCGCATGTGGCACCGTACTACTAATTACTACAGAATAATAAAGTTGATACTGATAGCAAATTTCCTTTGGGGCGATAAATCTAACACATTGACGTAGAATCGACATTAGTCGTATATCATGACATGGGGAGAAATTCCCATGTCTCTCCGTCATTAAAAAATATTTATATTGTATGAGAAATTAAAATTTGAACCAAATTTATTTTAAAATTATATAAATATAGATAGTTTAAATTTAATTACAACACAAGAAAGATATTAACAATACATTATACATAAATTATTAAATTTATTTTAAATATAATGTTTTTAACATCTCGTGTATTTTTCATTTATTTCCCAAAAATAACTAATATATTGGTTCTCACTTCTCAAAAGTTCAATACAATACAAAATATTGTTATATACATCACAATATATATACTTATATGCATTACAGAGAGATGATTTGAAGTTTAAAAACTCAATACTGTGACCGAAGCGCCATCTAATTGAGCCATATGATCGTGTACATATATCCCAAGTGTATCCCTCGTTCAAGCTGTTTGTTTTGTTGTATTGATAGGCTTTGTAATGCATGATTTCAAAGGTTTAGATGTGATATGTTGGAATCTTATTTTTCCGGCGGTGTACGTGCGAATGCTGTTTCCGACGGATGAAAGTTTCAAATGCTTGTGTTTCTTCACTAATGCTGGTCGGCACATCGACTTCTTTGGTATTCGAATAATTTTAATCGAGCATATCTTTTCCAAATTGGCAATTCCATGGAGGTGTGATGGAAGATCAATTATAAAATCTCCATATTCATCAGTTGTAGCTTGTGTTGTGCTTGATTTGGTCTTGCATGGAGTTTCACATTTAACACCCACCATAGCCCCTATACATGAAGAATTTAATAATAAAATAAAAATAAAAATAAAATGAACAAAAAGGAAATTAGGAGAATTCGAACCATAATCTCTAATATATAGGGAATTTATAAGCAATTATAATATCACATAGATTAATTTCTTAAATAGTATATTGACACTTTTATATGAATTATTATTGATTTTTATTATCAAATTTTATAATAATAGAAAATTAACACAATAAAATATTGATGATACGAAAAATAATTTTAAACTAAGTAATTGAACATATCATAATATACTTTATGGAGTAATTTATACGATAATTCTGTTTATTTTTTGTTACAAATTAATTCATGCAATAAATATGACCATCAATGTGAAGTGATGTGTTTGGTTAATTTAATTTAATTAAATGGAGATTAATGCAATTCATGCCTAATTGTGACATTGCATTTTTGTGGAGCCTAATGTTCACATCTTACATTAATGTTTTGAGTGTGGGCCTCATTTTAATATTTCACTGAATTAGAATGGGATTTTCTATTTTCATAAAAAAATAAAACATGTTTGATTTTATTATATTCAAAATATGTGTATGAAAATATTTATGTGATAAGATATACCTATAAAAATAATTATAGATGATCACAATATAAAGTTAATATATATATATATATATTATAATTTTAAGATGATTAAGTCTTGAGACAATCACACAATTTTATGTTAGAATTTTTGGATTTTTAAGATGACTAAAAATTTTATGGTGTAAGATTACAAATTTTCATGTGTAAAATTATGTCACAATAAAAAGTAAAAATGATTTAAAATATAAGAGAATTTAAAACTTTTAAGGGATGTGATTGCCTCAACACCCTTTCTATTCGTCTTCTATTAAGTTTCTATTTATCTTAATATTGTCTTAATAATATATTTTAATTTTAATAATATATTATCACTAAATTCAATAACAATAAATAAAATTGTAATCACTACATTAAATGTACTCCGTATTTTATAAACTCATTTATGAATATCTAAATCGTTGATTGACTCTTGTAATAAATGAAATAAGATTGGTTTTTTTTATGTTGAGATGTAATGAATAAAATAATAAGAACAAATTGTTAGAATTCAAATCTAATTTTACTATTTATGCTGGCAAGGCATAGATAATTCTAGAAGATTCTTGATTAATGAAGCATGATCTTGAATTACTTAAGAACTAAGCATGGAAAATAAACATGTGACAATTGATGATGGAAGGGAATTTCATTAAGACAAGGAACTCCATGTGACAATTAATGTCTTTAGCATTAATATAAATGTATGCAAAGTGAATGAGAAGGAATATGAGAAAAGACTTAGAAAAGTTAGAATGAGAAATAGCTTAGCAAAGCTATTAGAGAATGAAAAAGCTTAGCAAAGCAAGGATGAGAAATAGCTTAGCAAAGCTATGAGAGAAAAGGTAAAGCTTAGCAAAGCTTAGAATAGCGATGTTGCGTTTGTAAACAAGCCACAGCTAGTGTTATAATATTGTAATATTGAGATAGTGTCATTGTAACGTATTTTGCTTCGTATTAATAATATTGCGAGTTATATAAATTACTCGAGTGCCCACCTACGCTTCCAACAAGTGGCCTCAGAGCTTGGTTCGAGTTTAACGTGGTGGAGAAGATGGCCAACATGATTCAACCATAAATTCCGAAATTGACAAAGACGAATTATGACAATTGGAGCATTCAAATAAAGGTGTTACTAGGCTCTCAAGATTATTGAGATATAATTGAGGATGGTTACACCGAGCCTGAAAATGCAGAAGAAGAAGCAGTCCTGACCAATTAAGAAAAGAAGGTATTGAAGGAATCCCGGAAAAAAAGATAAAAGAGCGTTGTTCTTTATTTTTCAAGGAGTAGACGAATCTATCTTTGAAAAAATTTCTAATGCGAAGACCGCAAAACAAGCTTGGGAGATTTTGCAAAAATCTCTACAGTGCCGAAAAAGCAAACAAAAATACATAGCCGCAACAGCGTGCACTTGCCAAGAATCCAGTCTCCCATAACTGAAGCAAGCATATCGATACAAAGTATCACTTTATACAAGAGCAAGTGAAGAATAAAATTGTGGAGCTAATTTACTACAAAACTGAAGATCAACTAGCAGACATGTTCACAAAGCCACTGAGAGCAGATATATTTAACCGACTCAAAGAAAAGCTCGTAATGAAAAATCAGATTTGAGGAGGAGTGTTAGAATTCAAATCTAATTTTACTACTTATGCTGCCAAGGCATGGATAATTCTAGAAGATTCTTGATTAATGAAGCATGATCTTGAATTACTTAAGAACTAAGCATGGAAAATAAACATCTGACAATTGATGATGAAAGGGAATTTCATTAAGACAAGGAACTCCATGTGACAATATAAGAAGAATTTGGAAATGCCTAGATCTTTCATTAAGGAGGTTAATTACCCTTATAAATATGTCTTTAGCATTAATATAAATGTATGCAAAGTGAATGATAAGGAATATGAGAAAAGGCTTAGAAAAACCATAATGAGAAATAGCTTAGCAAAGTTATTAGAGAATGAAAAAGCTTAGCAAAGCTATGAGAGAAAAGGTAAAGGTTAGCAAAGTTTAAAATAACGAGGTTGTGTTTGTAAACAAGTCGCATCTAGTGTTGTAATATTGTAATATTGAGATTATGTCATTATAACGTATTTTGCCTCGTATCAATAAAAGTACGAGTTATACAAATTACCGAGAGCCCACCTACGCTTCCAACACAAATGATCCATTTTTATGTCTTGTTTTAAATATTGCTTCCATTTACGGTTTTAAGACAAAGTTGTCGTGACCTTCCACCTGAGAGTGTTCCTTTGACGTCCAAATTTCTTTAATCCCAAGCTTGTTTGACATTGCAACTGGTGAAAACCCAGAGGAATAGGATACCTCAACAACAACACTTTAAAATGTGCACGATCAAACGATTTCTTAGTTTAGGGTCCAAGGCAACCCAACTCGTGATTAACAATATGACCTAAGATACTGTTACCGGTAGGGCTAGGTAATAAAAATCATTTTTTATTCAAAGATAACTCTCATCCATTTGACATTGAACGTACACACCCTTGTTATTCCTGATGATCGAATCGGGACCTCAAGGAATGACAACAATTCTTTTACTATTAAGGTCGTTAAGTTTGTGCAAGAAAAATCGATTTAAACTATAATGTTTAAACCGTTTTTATTTATTTATTTACGAATTAATAAAAAAATCATGATTATTCGAAGAGAAAGAAATTCCGGACGGGAGCTAAATCATCAACATGTTTGGGTTATATATTCTAAGATAAAGGAATAATTGAATTGAAACCTGAAATGGGCCATGAACGAAGTTGTGAATGGAGCCGGCAAGCTTCACAAATAACAGAGCCAGTAACGAGGACGGTAGACAGCTTCTCCTCGCCGTATCCAGCCATGTGCAACATCTCGTCTCTGCTCGACAACTCGTATAATATTGGCTTCCTAATGACCAGCTCCGCCATTAATGAGCTCTGCTGAAGTAATAGCGAAACAACGATCATCATCATGGCCTGTAAAATGTTTCTCATCGTCTCGTTTACTTTGAATTTGATCACCCTGTGATTGTATGTTGCTTATATCAGCTCAGGGACAAATGGAGATTAATAGCGAGAAAGCCCCACCAGCAGCCGCTTTATATTACGTAAAACAAATAATACTATCAAAGGGTCAATCATTTCAATTTTTTTACCACCCCTACGCATATTGTTGACCTACAACTCTTTATATTCAAATCCAAAATCAATTTCAAATTATCATAATTGAACCGACGATTAATTAATCGTTATTAAATGATACTTATTAAGCGTATCGTATTGATATTATGTATGTATTATAGTTTTTATAACCATTTACAATGTCGATGCTTTCGAAACATACTGGGCACGGGATATTAACAATGCAATTGTAAAATGATGATATTATTTAGAAGGCTGATTTTGGTAATATATGTATAAAAGATGTCGGCAAAAGGGTCAAAGATGAAAAGGGATTACAGGGGCAGAAGATCAACTATGAATTTGGTAAGAGCCGGGGGGACGTTTAACTGTTGGTTGGTTGCCTACTCCTGTCATAGAATATTGGTCTAAATATGGGTTTAGTCCCTCTTCTATGTCAAAATTTGAGATCTAATACCTGTACTTTTTTATTATGTTCAAAATGAAAACGCCAAATAGTTCTTTCTATCAAAGTGAGACTGATTTCTTTTAGTTAGTCAATCACATAATGGAAAACATTAACGGTGTTATCAATTTAGATCCATTAATAATATATATATATATATATATAACTATAATATATAAAAAGTACGAGTTGTGTGAAAATTTGAATTAACTAAAATATCTTTTTTTTTCCTTCGGCATATTACTAATTTTTGCATTAAACTCAGCAACATAATCCCACTAGTTTTACATGTACATTTTTAATTTAGCACTATATAAAAAACAATTAACTATTTTTTAAATTCATTTAATGACTACCGTTTGTCTTAGGACCTAAATTTAATCTTTTAAACGTATAGGGGTTAAATATATCAAACTAGAGAAAGAGAACAATGGCAAAATCCATAACTTACATATAGTACAAGTAGTAGTGACAAAATCTGACCAAAATATATAAAAGGAGGCTTGGGCAAGTTCCCAACGATTGTTGGTCTCCAGGGCTGCCCCAACAATCAGCCATCTACCTTTTGCTCTTTGAAGCAAAACCTACGGGCTTTAATTAATTATTTTCTTACTTTGGGGACTGCTAATATATTGTTAATTATATATAAGTCGGAAATTGGGGACAGGCAAAAATCGTGAAAAGTGGGTAAGGTGAAGCATAAACTGGAGATGGAGTTGGTAACCTGACATATTATATGCAAAAGAGAAAGATGTCTTTTCATTTTTGAAACATACCCCATTCCTCAATTATAGCTTTACTTTCATATTATAAATATGGTCAACCTAAACGGTTGATAAATCGTTATAACGGTCCTAGTCTAACCATTAACGATTAACCGTTATTAATGGTTCAATTATAGAGTAACTTATAATTAACCTATTACATTCATTTTCAAACATAACGTAACTTAAAAATTTTAAAATTTCATAAATTTACGGCGATAGCAACATATATATTAAAAAAAAATCTTATTTATTTGTAAATATATTTTGTTTTATAAAAATATATATATTATGAGGTATATTCATTTTTTTACTGTTTTGTATTTTGTAATCTAAAATCATTTATTTCTTTCGTCTGTGTTTGATTTAATATGTTCTTATGATAAATATGATAACTAAAAAGTAGGAGAAACCATTTTGATTTTATTTCTAATTCTATTCTCTAGAAAATATAATTAATTAATTATAATTTATTAACCGTTAATGATGATTAATTCATTAATCGATAACCAGTATTTTTAACAGTTCGATTAATCAAAACTATTAAACCTTAACAGTTCGATTAATCGAAACTATTAAACCTTAACAGTTTAGTTAATTAATATTTATGGTTAACGATAACGAATTAATTTGAACACCACTAATTAAAATTTTGAAAAACTGCATTTAAAGTGAGCTTTTGCTTGAGATGAACCATTAATGGTTGGACAGAGATAATATCCCCAATTTATTGTCATTTAATATTTATTTATTTATTCTAATATATTGATTGAAAGTGAAACGCTTTAGGAAACATTTTTTTTTTCCAGCTTTGCTTCAATTGTGAGGTGCATAAGAGAATGCCTCACTTGTTCTTGGTCACCGATGGTGCAGCGGAGTCATGGTAGTCCGAAGTGATGGGTTCGGCAACAAGGTCACAACAACCGACATGGACTCGAGTACCTCGACTTTGTAAACATGCTTAACTTTTGATCAAATTCGATAAAATAGAGAAGAAAATATCCAAATCTAAACTTTGAATGAATCATTCATTTAAATATGGCGCAGAAGGACAGAATCTTGATACAATGCTGACATAAAGATAGCAGCATATGTGCTTGATCAAGTTAAAAAATAATTTATTTATGAATTTCAGAAGTTGAATCCGTGCGCCATGTATAATTTTAGGTGCCTAAACCGGGAATCACTGCCCTTCGAGGTCACGAGTGTTGAAGTACATATAGTTATTTTCATCCGAGAATGCCGAAGAAGTAGGCACCGGAGAAAACCCAGAATAGTCAACAACGTATTTCAAGAGCTCGTGTTTCCGGACAAATGGCTGTGATGCGTATTCTTCAAATGGCATCCACTGCATAAAAAAGAAACTTGAGAGGTTTCATCAAATCCGGACTATTTGCTCGGATAGTCAATCAGATTTTTCTAAACCATATTGACAGTTTTTGATGTTGCTGCAAAATGACATATATACTTGAAACTATAAAAACAAACCTTGGCTGCCTCAATCTCAGTTTCCTGCATTTGAATTTCAGACGAAAGTGGTTCCAGCAGTCATAGGAAGAATATATCTGACTTATCAAAGAATGCTTTGTGACTTTGTTTGTAAATAATGGAAGAAAAGGGAGAGAAGCAAAAATCGATGGTTAGTTGGTTACCGAGAAAATATATCAATTTGTTTGCGGACTCTGTCAGGATTTGTGATGAAAACCCAACTCTGTGTAGAAAGTGCATATTGTGCTCCTTATGATAGCTAATACACACACACGAAAGATGATTTATCTAGCGGCCTTGCTGAAGCATTCATGACATACACAAATATGATTTAGAATGGTTGATTCCAATGTAAACTGGAAGACCATATGCGCTTGCGTTTCGTTATAGTATCAATGCTAATAAAGATTTCATACCTGAATGCTAGTACTTCAATAAATTTTGTACAAACCCGAGTCAACAAAAGGAGTGAATATTCAAATCATTGATAAAGTGCAACAACTTGTCATATATTTGTGTATTGAATAACTGTTAGTCACTGCCATCTCTTCTTTGACTTCTCGAACTGCAGCCACACAGATATCTTCTCCCTGGAAATAAAATAGTTCAGGAAGGGGAAAATTTACACGCCATGGTATTATATCTAGAATCCCCCGGTACACATACCTCATCCACAACTCCTGTAGGGAACTTCCACACACCTGTACCCCGAAATCGTCCCGTGTTCTCTTGAACCACTAATACCTATGATCGAGATATGAGAACCACAAATTTGGAATTCGTAATCGTGTTTCAAGTTAAGTAGCTGTACAGATAATACAGTTTTATCTTGATAAGCACTTATCAGAGGCAGAGAGAGTGAATGAGTGAGTTAGCATTCAGGAAATAATTAGTAGTAGTTGCTGCTTTAAGATTAGTTACTGAAGAGGTAATGGATATCATATAGTACAGAAATAAAAAGGTCAGGGTGGGGGGAAGAATCCAGCCACTAATCCTTGAGAAACTCGAGGTTTCAAGGAGAGCTTTGGGTGACTTTTCCACTCTTTTCAACACGTATTATACGCGGAATATAGCAGGCTGATTTGAGCATATAAAAGAAAAATATTTTCAACAAGAAAGAACAAGGGGATCATCCTGATCCGTACAAAATCCTACATATAAAATTGCAAATATTCAACCAAGGGTAGGTCACGGGCAATTTAGTATGGTGTTACTGTTACCAAGTGTAGAAGCTAAAAACTGCTAAATGAGTTTAGAAACTACGAAGATCCTTGAATCAAGTAAAAGCACAGAAAATCAATTGAACCATACAAATAATGTTATAGTCCTACAAAATTGTAAATCCATGTATAATTTATTACCATCTAAAAAAGTAGAAAACAAGAGTTCTGATATTATTTTGTTCCTAAGGCAAGATTAGCACAATTATGGAGCACACTGCTTCAGTAAGTTAATGTTTGTCCTTCTAAAGCACATTGTTGGTATTCGTAGAGAAGCAAAATGAAGATCATTGGCATTATAAATAATCATGCAATTAAAGCTATGTCCAATCATATAAGATCTTTCATTCCCGTATAAACAGTACAAGTTAAAAACATCCATAATGAAATATCTTATGCGGATTGGCTATCGATAGAATTTATAAATAAAGTCACAAGGAATTGGAGAATCACCTCTCTTTTCATTCATGACAAATGCACCAATACTCACCCGGTGTTAAGCATAGGCAGGAAGAGTATGTGTACCTTCAGGAATCCAATAACAAAGCATCAAGTAATTAGGCTCAGCATGGTGATGCTAAAATCCTTCCTGTGCATCAAGACAGTAGTAACATAAACTATGACTGTAAGAAATAGTAGAAGCGGCGGTTATCAATACCAAAATGGCTTTCTAGAAACTAGTTCGATTAGGTTGTGAATGACATAAATCACCTCGACAGCAGGGTCAACAAGATTGGCATACTGAATAGGCAATTTGATCCACACACCCTTTTTCCCCTGCAAAACATGTTCTTACATGATTCAGAGAGAAACATGGAACCGTGTAAGAGATATGGAACTATTGTTAAGTGCCTAGAAAGCAACCAGGAAATTCCGAGTGAATATCAACACACAAAACCTATGTAAAGCTGATATCAAACCATTAGACGCAACATTGGCCTACTAATAACAATAAAGGAAAGGACCAAAGTGTGAAGGCACCAGCAATGAACAAGAACAGTAATGTCCACTTGAAAACACTTTTTCGTAGCAACACCAAACAGTCAAATTTTAAACCAAACAATCCAAAAAAAAAAAAAAAACTTTTCAAAAGCAGTCTTCAACAACATTTTCCAGCAGCACTTGTCTAAAGCAATGCCAAAGTAAGAAGAAAACCTGTAGTCGCCACCGTGCTATTGAAGCTCTAAGCATTGAAGTAAAGAGGGTAGACTCCGAGGGCTATGTCACTTCTACAACCACTCCTCCATACCTATCATTGACTGCATCAAGTAGTTTAAAATCTTGCAATACTTGTTCATTCACAGGCGTTGAATTCGTTGATGCTGACATGACTCTGAATCTGGTTCTAAACACAGCTGCAACAAATCAAAACATATTCCAACCTGAAAAGCCATTCACTATTAAACCTAAACAAGAAACTAGTACTTTGAAAGCAAAACCCAGAATTTGTAATCGTTTTTCCTATTCTTACAGGGGAAAAATGTTATAAACTTGATTAAAGTTTTCATTTTGGGTACATACCGGTGGAAGATGAAGGCAGCTGAAGTGAAGTGCAAGATGCCAAATTTGGGGGAAAACCAAACCCGAACAAAGACCACAGATTTCTGGTTGTGATTGAGAAGTCAAGCCTTTTCAACATTTTGATTCAATTATTTATTCATTTATTGTTATATATACTGTCATTTTAGTAATAATATAATCAAATAAAATACTATTAATTAGCATGTTTATTTTGGTTTCATACTGGTGGAATTAAACATGGCTATCGGCGATTAGTTGGCGACTGGCAAAGCAAGCAACAAGGTGCCGGCACAGCAATGGATGTAACCAAATCAACTGTCGTGTCTGGGAATTTCATGTTTTATTGGAATGCGAAGGGAAGGGAAGATAAGCTGAAAGCTCAGAGAGACTGACACGTAAGCATAGGGGGGGGGGGCAAACACGGAATTATCTGCAAACCAGGGTAAAAGTCGTAATTTTTGCAGGCCCATGCTTTGCCCTTTTTATTTTCATTTTACCCTTTTTACTTGAATTTACTAATCACATTCACCCAAACTCCAAAACCAAACCCTCAGTCCGCCGCCCCTTTTTTGATTTTTTTAATCTAGTGGTAGTAATAATTTATTTGAATTATTTAGCTGTATTTTATATTTACTAGAAGTAATTTCTGTTGATTTTACAGTGAAGAGAAAAGGATGGAGCTTTTCACCGGCGGACGGGAAGCTTTCCCTCAACACGTGGCGCCTTTTCCTGATTTAACGGCAATGATTGAATCGACAGAGGACATGATGATGGGTGATCACCGGTCGAATTTTCCGCCTCAGAAGCTGCGTCCTATTAGGTACAACGGCAGGTCACCGGCGAGCTTACAGGCGGAGGATCCCTTGGAGCTCGTTGAGGCAGTTGAACTCGTAGGTGATGATGTCTGCGCTGTAAATGGAGAATCCTTTGACTACTTGGTACCTCCCATTAAAGCCGAAGTTGGCGACGTGATGGGTACTGTCGGCTGCGGCGGCGGTGGGTTAGAGGAGCCGCCAAGCTCGGAGCAGAGAGAAGAGCCTTCAGGGTAAGTATGTATCTATGTTTATTGCGTCTTCCACTACATGACCTTATTGTCAAGCTATCGACTTTATTTCATGTATGTATGTATGTATCCTAACCATACAAGAAAGAATTTATATTTATGTAGTATACTAATTTATTAATATAGCATCCATTGACACGTTGGAATACACATCCATCAGAAAAGAAGTAATAAACTCCCACTGCTGATTAAATTGGGTTAGGTAGGTCTTTTTAAATTAATTTTAAATGGGGTAGCTCTTTCAGTGCTCTTTTTCTATCTAAAAGACTCGGACAGGAAACCTTATTTAAGGGGAATCGAGCTCCTTATCCATTGACTTGACAAGCAATGATTGTTATCCTAAGTCCACATTATTTAGGACAAGTACATTTGAGCTAATGTTCATGGCAACCTCAAGTAAATGTTAGGTTGGGTTCTTTATCTCCTTTGATTGAGTTTTTGAGTATTTTCTTGTTGATGTCTGTTGAATTTTCCTAGGAAAACCTGTTTTCTTTTTTATGTTAATGTTTGGAACCGAAGTATGAATAATAATTTGGAATATAACTTGCGTTAAGTTAATTTGTTGAGATTTTGATATTTCTTTAGATATATATATGTATTTTTTGGGTCTGAGACCCCAACTATATCTGGGGTTGATCTGGGTTAAGTAGCATCGAGCTCCTTACCACTCGACTCAATAGGTGTTGCTTGTCTTTGGATTTTACTATATATACAATATATTTACCCATTTCAGTGGAACTGGAAATGATGAATAAAGTTGCCATCATGAACTACTGCATTTGATACAATATTATTAGTAAAGCCCTTTTTATATGTTCCATCCATGTGAATGTTTATGGCTTTTACTTTTGTTGGATCACATGGGAAAAATAATGTACAATACAGAGCATAAAATTTGATGTTTTATGGACAGCATCCTGCTCTGTCATGTTCAACTTCCTAGTTTTGTAATGCTGGTAAGAGTTTAATGGGGTTTTTTCGAATTTGGGTGAAAAATTAAATGGGAGTGGTCCTTTAGTAGTAAGTTGACTCTGGTAATTTTAAACTTTGATGATCTTACTCGGAAACTATTTTTATGGCCAACTTTACAAGCTGATCGATCGATTTGTTATCACTTCCTGTTTTATGGAAGATTCTTGAGTGTCTTCCAAAATTGGGTGTGTAGATCTAATAAAATTATATAAAATGTGAAAAGTTGATTTTGTTGATTTGTTGATTTTTTATGGTTTGAAGCCGATTTTGACAAATTCATGACCATAACTGTCCAACCAACTGAATGTCCTGTGATATTTTCCTTGTTTCAGAAAATCATATTCGGATAGTTATGGTAATGATTCGTCAGCAACCTTGAATGAACCTTTAAAGAAAAATAGGAAGCGGAAAAGAACAGAAAAAGATGAAGTTTTCTTGGAAAAATTAGTGAAGAAAATTATGGATAAGCAAGAACAGATGCACAGGCAATTATTAGAGATGATTGAGAAGAGGGAAAGAGAGAGAGTAATTAGAGAGGAAGCATGGAAATGGCAGGAGATGGAAAGGATAAAACGGGACGAGGAGGCAAGAGCTCAAGAGATGTCTCGTAGCATAGCTCTCATTTCCTTTATCCAGAATGCTTTGGGCCATGAAATTGAAATACCGATACTGTCAACAATGTCACGCACGGAGGAAAATGGAGGTAAAGACATGAGTGAAGATCACAGTCAAAAGGGCATGATTAATCCATTCGTTCCAACAAATAATAGATGGCAAGAAGGGATGATGCAAGCCAACGGGGTTGAAAATCATGTCGATAGAGATGGAGGTTGTCATATGTGATCCAAATAATAGGAGATGGCCAGATGCAGAAGTGCAAGCTCTGATAATGCTTCGAAGCACTTTGGAAGACAAATTTCACGTCTCGGGCTCAAAGTGCTCCATATGGGATGAGATATCCGTCGGGATGTACAATATGGGTTACTGCCGAAGTGCAAAGAAGTGTAAAGAGAAATGGGAAAATATCAATAAATACTTCAGAAAGTCGATGGTAAGCAGCAAGAAGCATAAAGAAAACAGAAATAGATGCGCATATTTTAATGATTTGCATGTGCTGTACAAGAATGGATTCACTAGTCAAGTGAACCATTTGAACTGTACCAAAGTTGAAAACGCGGACAATGGTGAAAGCTTGAAAGGTAACAAATGCTGATAAATTAAGATGGGATTCAACTAATTTAAGGATGAATGTGACTGCAGGGATCTTGAAAGCAGAAAATGTTGAGGCAAACTAGGACTGGTTTTTAAAAAGGATAATGAGGCAGATATCTGTTGCATGTAGTTTAGAGCTTGGATTTTTTTTCGAGTCATTGACTTCCTGTTGTGTTCATTCTTATATGAGAAATCAGTTGGCTGTCTGACCTAAAACATTAGCTGAAAACTGCATCTGATTTTTCCTTGCGTGTGTCGATTGGATGACCATTTTTTTCTCAGAAAGTCTTCTCAAGAAATGGACAATATTGCAATTTTCTTCTACACATTATAATCTCTTACCTTGGAGGAACAGCAGAAGGTGGCATCTTGATCATGACTATCCAACCCCTATGCTTCACGCGGGTCTAAGTAAATGTGATTTGTTAAATTTAAAACAAACCATGCTACGATTGGCCTCTTGGAAAATGCACGCATGCCTCGTTTATTCTACTTGTCAATGTATTTTGCGCATAATCATAAGGGTAAAATGCACCCTATGCCACTCAATTATCAGTTGGGTTATTATTAGGAAAAAAAATCAGTTAGGTTATAAACATGTCAGTCTTTTTTGAAAAAATAAAATCTAATCACTCCATTAAAACATTATTGTAATCGGTGACTGAAATGTTAGACAAATAGTGATGAATTCAAAGCACCGAGGGCAACTTACCAGTCGTCAATCAATCTCGTATTCGAGTTATATAGCATATAACAAATACTTTGTAAGTTTATAAATCAAAATTTCTCAACAAGAGCAATCCCTTGTTGCTATATGGTAGAATGCAGATATCAATTACTGTTTTGATATGATGAATTCATTTACTTTAATAATATTAAAAATGACTAAATTGATAGAATTTTAAAATTTAAAGAGTTAAATAATTAAATTATTTAAAATTAAGATCAAAATATGACACATTTGTAGTCAAACTATAATTGAGTGACCTAAGGTGTATTTTAACCTTATAATAATTAATATATTTTTTAATTAAACTAAAGTGATTACAAAATAATATATATTCTAAATACTCTCAATTATTGATTTAACAATGAGTATACAAAAGAATCTCATTTATAATCAAATAATTTTTTCAAACGGGATAACTCCGATCAATGTACACGTGGCAGCTTTTAATGGAAAAGAAAAGTGGAAAAATAGATAAAATCTTACAATGAATTATAAGGTAAATTACAATAAATAGTCAGTAATATTATCGACTTATAATAAAATAATTATTTAATGTTATTAATTTATAATTAAAAATAATTATTTTACCATCATTTTCGTTAAATTGATGATGTGGCGATGTTGACAAAAGGTTAATATTTAATTTTATCTCTAAACTACCACTAAAACATCAAATAGGTCATTGAACGACCTATTTTAAAACTTTTTCATTTTTTTAAAAACCTCATCACCTCCACTATATTCGAATCACCTTCCTTACAAAACGAAAACCACACTTAAACAAACCCTAAGAGCTTTCCTTTCCTTCCTGAAATTTTGATGGTTATTACAGATGCCACTGACCATATTTTTACCAAATTATGACTGACAGATGCCAAACAATCTATCTATTAATTATGATGAACCTTCACTTTAGTCTACGATATTACGAACATTTCAAAGATTGGAAGATCTAGAGTGAATCTATCAATTATGATTAACCTTTGCACAGTTTTTATCAAATCAAGTTGTTGTCAACTGAGTTGAATTTGGCCTAAAGCGGACATGTGAGTTCAAAGTTTCATTAGAATTTGTTCGGTGAGCTTTTGTTTAATTTTGATTTTTGTTTTTGCAAGAAAAGCTATTCGAATATAGTAGAGGTCAGGAGATGTTTGGGAAAAAATGGAAATTAGAAACCTTTTGAGGTAAATTAAATGTAAAAATCATTGTTTAAGGACTTATTTGATGTTTTAAGATTAGTTTAGTGGAAAACTAAATACTAATATTTTTTTAACATTGTCACGTCATCAATTTAACGATAACGATGATAGAGTGACTATTTTGTAACAAGTCGATAACATTAGTGATCATTTGTTACAAGTCTATAATGAAAGTGATTATTTTGTTAGTTTTAAACCTTTAGCGGAAAAAACAAAAAAAGTGTTCAAACAATAGTCACCATTGGTGTAGTTTACCCTAACTTATAGGGAGAAAAGCTGAAATCAACATTTGAAGTGGGAATTTAAGGGTCTGTTTGTTTGGCTGTAATTGGTTTTCCGGAAAACCAATTCTAGAAAACCAATTACATTTATGGAAAACCAATTACATAATTTTATTTCTATATAATTTTTCAATGATTTCTCTCCCAAATTATCAACTATCAACTTAATAAAGGTATGTTTTTCTCTAAATTAGTGATGATATCTAGTTTATAGCTCGTTTGTTTAGTAAATTAATTTACAATTTGTAGAATGAAATCATCTAATGTTGATCATGTTTGGATAGATTTGTGTTTTGGAGGGTCATGGGAGAATGTTAATGGTGTTTTACAATATATTCCTTTACCCATGAATCTTCAACTAAAACTGTCATTAAAAAAGTTAATTTATGAAACTCTAATGTTAGGTGTTTCAAAGAAATTGAATTTAGAGCCTCTAAGTGGATTTAGGCTATTTTATCAGAGAAAAGGTAAAGTTTATTTGTTAACCGACAATGAAGATGTTGAACGATTCATTGCTTACATTAGTGTTTCGCAAGATGATGTTACATTGTATGTTGTTGAACCTAGAAGTAGTGAAATTGGGTCAGTAGCATGTAGTAATTAACTAAGTTCTTCAACCCCAGTTTATGGTGCTCACAATGTACAACGTTGTTATCAATCTCAAAATTTAATGGTTCCACCACAATTCATCACCAAGAAAATTTGTTTCACCACATTTCCAATACCAAACACAATATCAAACACAATCTCGAAACCCACAACCTTTCCCTAATCCAAATCCCAATCAACTTTCAGCACCAAATTCCAGTTTTCGCATTGACCAAATTCCTCAAAATTTAATGGTTCCATCACAATTTCATCACCAAGAAAATTTTGTTTCACCATATTTCCACCACGATTTACGGGATATACTGTTTACATTTGTGTTGCAAAATTAATATTCGTGTTTCGAATTCAAAAATAAAATTCGTGTTGCGAAAATAAACGCGCTTTGCGAATTTGACTTATGTGTTGCGAATTACAAATTTGCGTTACAAATTTGGAAAATCGCATTGCGGAAAAGAAATTCGAGTTGCGAATTTCAAAACTGAGTTGCGAATATGGGAAATTCGCGTTGTGAATTTGAAAACTGTGTTGCGAAATTGGAGTTCGCGTTGCGAATTTGTTGGTTATTTTCGCAAATCCAAAAAAAAATTGGTTAAAATCGTATATTATAAGGCATTTTCGGTCACTGAAGTTATTTTCTCTTTAAATTACCGTGGACTAAAAGACTGATTTTACTACATATTGTAGGGATGATCATCCAAAAAGTGTTTTATCATCCATGCAAACAATCATGACTGTGGTGCTAGAAGAGAGTGAAGATGTTTTTGATGATCTTTTACTTGTTATTTTGTTTACACTAGGTCGTAATAGAAGTGTAAGAATTTCTTGTTTACTATCAGCTTATTGCTTAAAGATTGTGTGGCTACCTCTATTTATTCTTTAGAAGTTTTAATTCTTAATTGGAAGGGAATCTATTTCTGGAATCTATAATTCAGGGTGTTACACAAGCTGCCAGGAGACTTGCTATGAATGTTATAGAGCAGTATTCATAAAAACTTGAAGCTGTCATAAAACAGTTTCTCATTTCAGTGATGTCAGGAGATAATCAGCCAGTAAAAAGTGAAATTGACTATCATGAAGTTATCTATGATATTTATCATTGTGCTTCTCAGATACTCAGGAGTTGTCACATACCTCACAGGAGAGCTGTTGGTATGAAAACAATCATTGTTTTTTATTTTTACTAATTACTTTACCGCATTAAGATTTTGTTCTCCATTTGAAGACATTTATTTTTGAGAAAAAATTATATTCTAAAATAATTCTTAAAGTTTTTCGAGGATGAAATTTTTCTGGAGAGTTTAGGTTCAGCCTTAGTGGATATGGGGGCTTTTTTTTCCTCTTTATTATGGTTTTATCATAGTTATAGTCTTAATGTTAGGTAAATGAGTTCAAAGATGGTTGAAGTTGATAAACAATTCTGAGGGCTATCAGTTCCTATATATGCAGACTGATCAAATAGACACTCGTTTGAAAGCTGTCCGATTGGTTGGATCCCTCTTTGCACTGCCTGGCTCTATCATATCTGAAGCGTTTCAGCCAATATTTTCAGAATTTTTGAAGAGGTTGACTGATAGAGTTGTTGATGTTCGAATGTCCGTCATTGAAAATGTTAAGATCTGTTTGTTGTCAGATCCCTCAAGACCTGAGGCTCCTCGAATTATCTGTGAGTTTCTTTTGTTTTTTAATATGTATTCATTTATGTTAGCTAATTTTGATTTTGTTATGCATTTTCTAGCTGCCCTCTGTAATCGGCTTTTAGACTATGATGAAAATGTTCAGAAGTAAATTGTGGATGTAGTTTGTGATGTTGCTTGTCATTCTTTTGTTGCCATTCCTGTTGGGACTATAAAACTAGTTGCAGAGCATCTTCGAGACAAATCTGTATGTTCCTGCACTTCTTGGATTACTTTTGTTGCCACTTTTGAATCCAGTGATGTTTACCAAATGCATATAACTTTTTCTTTTGTTTGGAATGTGCAGCTGCTTGTTAAAAAATATACTATGGAAAGGATGACTGAGATTTTCAGAGTTTCTTGTACTGTATGCTCTGATGGCTGGATCGATCACTATGAATTCGATTGGATACCTGGGAAGATATTTAGGTGTTTCTATGACAAAGATTTTAGGCAAGTCATTTGAGAAACTTGCAAGAAAGGATTAATTTTGCACTTGTTCAGAATATATCACATTATTTATCTTTGTTTTTCCTCATCATTAAAAACTGATCTGCAGTAAGCACAATGTAAGTAATATGTCCCTCTCTATTGGCAGAGTTGTTTCTC